ACCTGCTGTAATGACTTTTCTAGTTAGAAAATGTTGTGTGCAATAGCTCTACTAAACGAGACATTGTATTTGACTTTTTAATCAGTTATGAACCGTGCAAATAGCTGCGACATCAAAAGTCTCTCATTACTGAGAATGAGTGTAACGTCCACTCACCACTATGTAGATACTAGTCGATCTTCTTCTTGTAACCGTGAGGAGCGAGGCTGATCATTGTTTTCACTATCACTAGCGTCTGACTCGAACAAAAAAGACCTAGCGATTGTTTCTTCACTGAAGATTGAATGAAAAGATTGTCGCTGTCTGAATTACTTCCCGACATGTCAGAGTCAGCTTTGCACCGAAATGCCAACCCACTGAATTAACCATATTTAAATCACCTGACATAAATGGTTTAACACCCGAGTAAATAGGGAAACAAATGCCAGACCTAGCCAACAGGTAACCGTTATGACAACAAGCGATTTTGACAGAATCGTCTATGAAAACAAGTTGTAACTCGGAAGCTAGGCAAAGCAGGTGACAAGATAAATGACAGTAGATTGTGAAAGCAAAAAGCTTTCATTATTCACAACAATTGTCAGGTTTAGACAAACCTGTAAACAAGATAATTTACCCCCGGTAATGTACATGAATTGTACAGCGCCCCTCACATGCATGCCTCACATTACGTCACGGAGACGCGCCCCTCTGATTGGCTCAAATTTCGTTCGCGGGAGAGAATTGTGCACTGTTGTTAAAAAGGTCGATTTAAGTTAATTAAATGTCAAAATGAGTAGTTTTAATGACGGGGTTTCATTTATAACGATGCCAGTAAATGATTGAATGTGGGGGTCTCAACCGATATGGACAGTGCTAACTGAGTTGTTACACCATCCCTCTTTTCGGGTCTGGCTCTGGTGTGTACTAGCGATTAGGTGCCTCACTCTTAGTGTTGGGTTCGAAACCACCCAAAAGTACTAGAATCTGTACTTTACTGAGAAAGTTTTATACCAAATATGGGTTGCATCCTCTAAAAGGCATATGTACTTTCCCATCTGTTTCATGAACAAGACAAAAATAGAAAGAAACAACAATTAAGATCACACAGTCTCACTTGATTATTACAGTTGTAAAGTTAAATGTCGAGAATGTAAGCATGTTCCAAATGATTCTAGTTATCAATAATATCTTGCTCCCATGCGACCCATGGTCCAAAGCCACCACCACACCCTTGACTGTGATGAGGTTTCTTTTGGAGACATGTCACCATTCCAATGCACAAGAGTTCTATTTTTAATGAATAATCTGTTTTGTTTAGGATGCCTGGAGCACCAATGATGGCATTCTCCACGTAGACCAATCTCAAGACGTGGTGCTTACTCACGCCAGATCGACGAAAGATTTAACAGTGCTTCATTACTATCGCAAGATAATCACATGTGATGATGACGATTATCAACTAGATGTAAGTATGCAGGTTGTCTCTCCACCATGTTCAGCATTTCTGCAATGTGACGAACACAATAACGTCACGTATTCTTGTTTTGAAAGATACAAATGCCTAAATGCCATAGCTCAAACTCACACTGAAAATTGCTCTCGTAGTTCAGCGTTCGAACAGTGCACCATGGTTTTCGATTGCACCACACTATGTGTAACACGTTTCGAGTTTGTCTTTTTGGACTTGTGATTTAGCTTGTCCACTTTACCCTGCTATGACCTTTCAGATCTGACATTTAACCACAGATCCCATGTGAGCCAAATGCTTTTTTTAACCCATATTCATGACATAGCATCAAACGTAAGGACAATGTCGTCCCTTATATTTTTAACACCAAACTTTGGGTGACACACAGACTTTTTGTTTTGCTTTACATTACGCTTACAAGCGTTTGGGTAAAAAGTGACAAGGGAGATAATCAAGCAATGCCATATGTAGGTAATGAATGAATAATAAACGTTGCCAGTTTTTCTAACCAACGGAGTGCCAGTGTCTGCGCACCATGGTCACAAGAAAGTCTACATGATACCGTATATTTGAAGATGTGCTCTCATTCTCTGGTGGGGCTATACAAACAAAGGCGACTATACCCCGTGTCTTTGAAATATAGCAAACGACCCCAGATGTCAATAGCTTTTGAGCTGAGTCTTTCTTTATTGCCAGTGTTTCTTTGACTATGCATGGCTTTCAATTGGCTTACGAATGTGGATGTCCAACTGCTCTTGGTGCGCTGTAGGTACAATGAATATTGTTGTGTGTCCCTCATTTGTACGTACTGAACGCACCTTTGTGCGTCGTTTAAGAAAACCTCTATTGAAACCCTCTGAACTAACAATATGATGCTCATTCATTCATCGGTCACCAACACATAGTGGATTCTCTGAATTATTTGATGATGTTTCTGACGTGACGAGACTAAGGATGGACCTCTGTGACACTCTGTCCACTACAAGATCAGGTGTTGGCGATCTGTAGCCCGTGTTTTATATTGTATTGTCTTGTTTAATTACAATGTTTTAGTTTTAAAAGCTAGGTTTATATTCATATATGTGATACTCTAGTTATATACCAATTATTTATACTGTTTGAAAGGAGTACTAAGTGACACAGTAGCACAATTATGTTTTTTCAATACGTGTGTAGTTCAATATATTTTCAATTAAGTTTGTCTGAAGCATAATTCCTTTTTATCAGGCACTTTTGGGGGCAGTGGTGTGCTACATTTAGGGTTCCAGAGGTTTCCACCGAGTTCAGACCCACGGAATAGTATAGACAGATCTGATAAGATTTTCTTATGTGTATCAGGAAAGCTGGCTATTGCATCTGATCTCACATTACCTCTCAAGAATACCAGCATTGTGTGTGATGATCATACACTGCCTAGCCATTTCCTCCAAGTTGGATTACCGTTGCTGAGTGGTGAATATTACCATCATTGCCTCTATATCATCATTGCTCACTGCCTTTGAATTTCTACTGCCCTAATGACACATTTGTGTTGTGAACGTAGTTAATTTTAGAATACAATTGTTAATTACAGCACAACTGTTCGTTGTTAGTTTCACACCTAGTGTTTTCACAGACTGGTTCCCAGTTAACTTTTCGATGTCACTTTTGGAATTTACATGAAACCTCTCCCACCGCGTACCCCCGTAGTCTTGTTGAAGTAAAGTTTGGTATTGATTTGTGTTAACGGAGACATTTGCATTCAGAACGTGATCGTGCCACTAAAAGTACTGACAAGGAATTCAGCTGATGAAACATTATGCTGACAGTGATATATCTTGTTTGTAACACTAAATATAACCTGCCAAAGAAACATAAATAGCGCGAGACATCGCTAAGGGCCGTGATGGTATGAGGGCGAATGTTATTTGGCACGACAAGAGTAGCATGTCTTCATTTAGTTAATAGTGAAACTAACAGATGATTATATCAACTAACATCACGTTAAATGGTCATACGTCTGGTAAACTAAGAAAGTCTTCACTCTGTTAGTGGGAAGAGCCAATAAATCACTGGATGAAAAAGATACCTATTTTCTTACTTCAAAGGTTGGTCCCTTTGTATTCCTTTAAATCCCCGAGTTCTCGTCTAGTTTCTCCAGCGATCGCGGCTGATGCATGTGTCCTATCTTAATGGACAGGCCATTTGGTCTTCTCAGGAGTCTAGACGGGAATTTTATCAAAATAATAAATTGTCCCCGGAACTGCGTGATAAACATGTATGTTTCACACTGTTGTAAAACCTTCGTCGATAACTAAATACTACATTACTGAAAAAAAAAGAATTTTAAATAATTATTTCGGCTCATGTTTCTATTTTAGTTCCAAAAACGTATCCAATTTTGTATCTGAAGCTTAAGAAATAAGTAGCCTCCATAGTTCTTACCGAATGAAGTGCTCATGTAGAATTTAGCGAATGCATACCATCACTCCATTTCTGAATGTTGATAAACTTACACAGTTTCATGACACAATCTGGTATACAGCAGGCTAGATTACTAAATTAACAGCAAACAGCGACGTTCAAAGCCAGTTACGATCTACTTTATGTTGGTATGTAACATCGGAAGACGAATCGTTATTACGGTATGGTGCAAAACTCAGGCGTGTATTGGGAATTTAATGTGTAAACTCGCGCCTTACGTGTCATGTACAGACCGAATACTGCGCAAACAAAGAAAGGAAAGTTTGAAAGTTATCTAAGTGATTCAAAGTTGGGTATCTGTATCAATAAATGTGCATATTGGTTTACAAACATAATGGTTTTCATGTACAAAAAAGACCTAGTTGTTTTTAAAGGAACATAATAACAATTAAATCTAAGATAGAACGTTCATGCAGACTAGTGGCTGTAAAGGTACAGGGTTTTCCATCACATATCTTTATGTCGTGGCCACTTTGATTGGCCACAACGAAACAATGCCATTGGCCATTTGGAGGCTGCTGACAAGACTGCCGAACGCTTCACTTGAACCACAATGGAAATGGATTGCTTACGAGGTTCTACGTGGCATCGCTACCAAGCACAACTAAGAACTCGCAACCAAAGTTACTGGGCAAAATAAAGTTATCCCTTAAAAAGTAATAAAAAGAATAAAACCCAAAAACTCTGGTACAGGTTTGAACCCAAGCAGAAAACATTCCCGATAACAATGCAGCTGTCCGAAGACTTCGTACAAATCGTGCATTTTTCAAAACATGAAAAACGTAATTGTAGGACATTTTCCAAATGTCCATGCATGATTGTTGGACAGAGAAATATGCAGTAACAAAAAAACAAAACAACGAATATGCCAAGACTTACGCAAGCGCAAAGAGACAGGGCGATCGATATGACCAATATGGGGGCTTCACAACGTCAGCTGGCAAGCTGGCAGCCAGGCCACCATCAGCAAATTGATAAACCCATACCAGCAAACATGCCAGTACCAAGACCGCCCAAGATCGGGAAGACCAAGAGTCACGACACCGGCCGAAGACCGCTACATCCGACAGATCCACCTCAGGAACACATGCGTGACTACGACGACAACGGCGGCGACAGTTCACCAGGACAGGCCGTCAGCAGACGAACAGTTCTTCGACGACTTGCCATGGCTGGTATACGAGTCTACTGCCACTTCCTCGGAATGGCCTTGACCCGTCTACACCCTCAACGCTGACTGCATTGGGCACGAACTGTACGTCGGTGGCAGCGACGTGACTGGGAGAGAGTGCTCTTTACAGATGGAAGTCGGTTGAGAATTTCGACGTAGAGGGGAGCGACTGGTGACAAACTGCATTCATGAAGTTCATCCGTTCGATGGAGTAGGGAGTTGTCATTGTATGGGGCGGCATGTGTGGCCAGAAAAAGAGACTGATTATGATCAGAGGAAATCTGAATGCCCATCGATTCTGGGATGAAATGTTGAGACATTTTGTGGTGCCCTTAATTCGACAACAGCCAAGAAGAATCGTTTTGCAGCACGACAACCACAAGAATTGTTCCGAGAATTCTCCATTGAACATCTCTGGGATCAGTTTGTTCGTCAGCTGAGACAGCGTGTACCACCTCCAGCGAACCGACAGGAACTTGAACAGACTCTCTTGGACTTATGGAACGGGATTCCTGCTGACGTCATCCGACGACGTCAATGAAGACACGTTTGTTGGATGCCCAGGGTAGTGACACTCGCTACTGATGACGTGTCTCCTTACCTGTCTCATTATGCGACTCTTTATGCACTTTTTGAATGAACTCTGATTTGTGTAATGTTTAATTTTGACCACTTGACTTTTTCTTAATGAATTCCAAAAAATGCAAGACCAGCATTACAATGAATTTTCTGTCGCTTTATTTGAAAATGATTTTTATTCGTAAAATAATTATCATAAATCTGACATACGTCTTTGTTTCTATTTTTGGGCAAGTGAAGTCGGTGATAACTTTCTTTTGCCCGGTAGTTTAATTCTAGGTCTTCTTCCGTCAGGTAAGTTGTAATGATGAAATTTCATTTTTCCAAAAAAACATAGATAACAGAACGAGAGACGTAAGAAACCTTTGAAGCCAAACACCATTTAACAGATGGGCAGGCTGAATGGTAACAATCCCCTATACTTGAAGAAAATCTCCAGCAAAATCCAGACAACTTATCAACAACCTGATATCATTCGGTCAGACAAGATTATTCATTAACCAAACTAACGTGCTTTCCGAACAGGGTGGTGCCCGACCCGATCCGATTCATGCAGCTCTTTCATGCAAATGTGGGTGCAAGAAAAACCTAACACTCGTAGTCCATGGGCTGATATAGGTGACCCTCCCGGGAATTTTGAAGACTATATTTTTTTGAAAGCTTATCATATGTACATTCAAATTTCAGGTGTTTGCAGGCTGGGTGCGGGGGATTTTTCCCGCAGTGACCCCCCAAAGGGGGTCAGGGTGGGAAAAATTTGGGAAAATTAGTTTTCGCTTTTTTCACAAAATACATTCTAATAACTGCTTTCTATCAGGATCTATACAAATATTTAAGGTTTATTGATAAGTTATAGGTACAGGAAGACATTTACTTTGAAAAATGCATTGCGTCTAAGGGAAAAATTAAACTTTATAGGTGTTTTTCTACACTTTCTAGTGGGCAATTGTTTTAAGAAGGTATTCTTGTTTCAATAGCTCTAAAATGATCAAAATTAATGTTACAGCTATACTTAAAGCATGAAAAGACTTTGAGATGGTTTATTGTAGTCTGGGTGCTGGGGATTTTTCATGCCCTGACCCCCCAAGAGGGGGGCCAGGGGGTAAAAATTTGGGAAAATTAGTTTTCGCTTTTTCACAAAATACATTCTAATAACTGCTTTCTATCAGGAACTAAACAAATATTTAAGGTTTATTGATAAGTTATAGGTACAGGAAGACATTTACTTTGAAAAATGCATTGCGTCTAAGGGAAAAATTAAACTTTATAGGTGTTTTTCTACACTTTCTAGTGGGCAATTGTTTTAAGAAGGTATTCTTGTTTCAATAGCTCTAAAATGATCAAAATTAATGTTACAGCTATACTTAAAGCATGAAAAGACTTTGAGATGGTTTATTGTAGTCTGGGTGCTGGGGATTTTTCATGCCCTGACCCCCCAAGAGGGGGGCCAGGGGGTAAAAATTTGGGAAAATTAGTTTTCGCTTTTTTCACAAAATACATTCTAATAACTGCTTTCTATCAGGAACTAAACAAATATTTAAGGTTTATTGATAAGTTATAGGTACAGGAAGACATTTACTTTGAAAAATGCATTGCGTCTAAGGGAAAAATTAAACTTTATAGGTGTTTTTCTACACTTTCTAGTGGGCAATTGTTTTAAGAAGGTATTCTTGTTTCAATAGCTCTGAAATGATCAAAATTAATGTTACAGCTATACTTAAAGCATGAAAAGACTTTGAGATGGTTTATTGTAGTCTGGGTGCTGGGGATTTTTCATGCCCTGACCCCCCAAGAGGGGGGCCAGGGGGTAAAAATTTGGGAAAATCAGTTTTTTTCTTTTTTTCGCAAAATACATTCTTATAACTGCCCTTTATCAGGAACAATGAAAATATCTAACATTTATTATTTAGTTAGAGGCACAGGAAGACTTTAAATTTGAAAAATGCATTGTGTCTAAGGGGGAAATCAAATTTGAATGCTGTTTTTCTACACTGTCTAGTTGGCAGTTGGTTAAAAAACATTATTTCTTCAATTGCTCTAAAATGATCAAAATTAATGTTACAGCTATACTTAAAGCATGGTGGTTTAATCTCACTTTGGCTTTTTATAACATTGAGTTACCATTACTTATATTTATGTACCTTTATGCCGAATCATCATAGATTGTGTCCACAAGACTCTCTATATCAACTTCGTCTGAATCCTCCGTTCTACTCAAATCTAAGTTCTTGCTGGATATTATGTCAGTCAACCCTCGTTGAAGGATGTTGCCTATGGTCCATTGACATTTTAGAGCATTTACTCCCCCTTTCAGCCACCCATAGCCCACACGGTGAGCAACACCAGGGGGATTCTTGTCAGCTTGACCAAGATCAAGGCCTGGTGATCGCACGCTGCAAGTGCATGTGTAGGGAGTCTCTGCAAGATGGAAGGAGTCTCATGTCTACATCATCATAGCTTGTCATAGTCTGTCCTCCCTTGGGTTTTAACTTCTTCATGAAGATTTGGTAGCGAGCCTCATTTACATTGTGTGTGATTTGACCATACATAAGACAGACAAAGGAATCCAAAGACCTCAACAAGTCAGTAGCTATCTCATCAGAAAGTCCTATCATGGATAAATCATTTACAAATTCAGGGTGAGGCTCGAGAAGCTCAATGGGGAGAACTTTGCCGCGTCTGACAAAGGCACTGGTGGTATCACATCCTGTAAATGCATGAAGGGCTGGCTGGACATTGCACAGAGTGGACGCTTTCAGACTGATGATACTTTGTACATCCAGAAGTCTTCGTTTGTCACCAGTGCCTTTGTCAAATAGAAGAGAAGTTTTCACCTTTTGAACAACCTTCAGAAGCAGAATCAACACATCTGTATTATCTGATCATATCACAACTTGTGCAGCAGAAGGATGCTGAACATCTACATGCCAAACGTGAAGAATGATCCTAGTTTCCGCTTCTCCCTGGAAGAAAGCATTCACAAAACATCCTCTAGAGTGACAGATACTGATTCGTCATCTGTGGTCATCAACCATTAAGTAAAACACTCTTCACCTTTCATAGAGAAGACTTTCTTTCCTTGAAGTCGACTCATCCAAATGAAAGTTGAGACAAATGTATTTGCTCAGTTGGTTCTCTTGAGTGAGCAACATGACACTGATGTCGAAAAGACATCTTCATTCCCATTATCACCTGTTCCATGGGCCTTAGCAACAGATGATGGCTATCCAGAGAAAACCGACAAAGCCAAACTGCTGCACTACCTGGAGACTGATGCAAAGAAGCATGATTTGATCGCTGTTGATGCTGTGCATACAGTAGATGGTAATGCCCTATACTCCAGTCCCTCACTGGCATCCCCGATACATATGAGAAGCTAGTTGAGAAGGTTTCTGTGATGCTTCCACATTAGGAAAGAGTGGAGTTTGTCACAGATTCATAACAAAAGACTCCATCAAGTGATTAGAGAGAGACAGAAGATGAACAGCTCATATTTGGTTCAGGGCCCAAATTATAAAACCCCATCTAACTGGAAATCGTTTATGGTCAATCCCAAGCACAAAAGGCAATTGATACAACTGATCTTTGATGAATGGTGTACTGACAAATACACAATTCAACTTCAGTGGAAAAATAGTCTTCTTTATGAAAGGTGAAGAGTGTTTTATGTTGATGACCACGGATGGCGAATCAGCATGTCACTTCAGAGAATGCTTTGTGTTAATCACAGGAAGATGCGGAAACTAGGTTCATTCTTCACTTTTGCATGTAGATGCTCAGCATCCTTCTGCTGCACAAGTTGTGATATGATCAGATAATACAGATGTGTTGATTCTGCTTCTGAAGGTTGTTCAAAAGGTGAAAACTTCTCTTCTATTTGACAAGGGCACTGGTGACAAATGAAGACTTCTGGATATACAAAGTATCATCAATCTGAAAGGGTCCACTCTGTGCAATGTCCAGCCTTTCATGCATTTACAGGATGTGATGCCACCAGTGCCCCTGTCAGACGTGGCAGAGTTCTCCCCATTGAGCTTCTCGAATCTCACCCTGAATTTGTGAATGATTTATCCATGATAGGACTTTCTGATGAGATAGCTACTGACTTGTTGAGGTCTTTGGATTCCTTTGTGTGTCATATGTATGGTCAGATCACACACAATGTAAATGAGCTACCAAATCTTCATGAAGAAGTTAAAACCCAAGGGAGGACAGACTATGACAAGCTATGATGATGTAGTCATGAGGCTCCTTCCATCTTGCAGAGACTCCCTACACATGCACTTGCAGCGTGCGATCACCAGGCCTTGATCTTGGTCAAGCTGACAAGAATCCCCCTGGTGTTGCTCACCGTGTGGGCTATGGGTGGCTGAAAGGGGGAGTAAATGCTCTGAAATGTCAATGGACCATAGGCAACATCCTTCAACGAGGGTTGACTGACATAATATCCAGCAAGAACTTAGATTTGAGTAGAACGGAGGATTCAGACGAAGTTGATATAGAGAGTCTTGTGGACACAATCTATGATGATTCGGCATAAAGGTACATAAATATAAGTAATGGTAACTCAATGTTATAAAAAGCCAAAGTGAGATTAAACCACCATGCTTTAAGTATAGCTGTAACATTAATTTTGATCATTTTAGAGCAATTGAAGAAATAATACGTTTTTTAACCAACTGCCAACTAGACAGTGTAGAAAAACAGCATTCAAATTTGATTTCCCCCTTAGACACAATGCATTTTTCAAATTTAAAGTCTTCCTGTGCCTCTAACTAAATAATAAATGTTAGATATTTTCATTGTTCCTGATAAAGGGCAGTTATAAGAATGTATTTTTGCGAAAAAAAGAAAAACTGATTTTCCCAAATTTTTACCCCCTGGCCCCCCTCTTGGGGGGTCAGGGCATGAAAAATCCCCAGCACCCAGACTACAATAAACCATCTCAAAGTCTTTTCATGCTTTAAGTATAGCTGTAACATTAATTTTGATCATTTTAGAGCTATTGAAACAAGAATACCTTCTTAAAACAATTGCCCACTAGAAAGTGTAGAAAAACACCTATAAAGTTTAATTTTTCCCTTAGACGCAATGCATTTTTCAAAGTAAATGTCTTCCTGTACCTATAACTTATCAATAAACCTTAAATATTTGTATAGATCCTGATAGAAAGCAGTTATTAGAATGTATTTTGTGAAAAAAGCGAAAACTAATTTTCCCAAATTTTTCCCACCCTGACCCCCTTTGGGGGGTCACTGCGGGAAAAATCCCCCGCACCCAGCCTGCAAACACCTGGAATTTGAATGTTCATATGATAAGCTTTCAAAAAAATATAGTCTTCAAAATTCCCCCGGGGGGGGGAGGGTCACCTATATCAGCCCATGGACTATCGCATCAACAGAGTTTATTATTTAGTCACGTTTGGCAAGGAATTTTGATGAGTTGGTGAAGAGTTGATAAGTTGATTACTAGTATACATGTTTATGTGTCTTTTCATAGCTAAGATATAGCTGCCTGCCCAAAAAGGTGATAATCTGGCAGTTTGGAGGTCCAATACACACTGACAATCGTGTGTTTCAAGATGCATTAGCTTTGAAGAGATCATGACTTGACCAATGAGACTTGTCATTGCGCATGAAGGTTGATCAGGTTATGAGTATTGGAAATTTACTGAGCACATGTAGACATTCTGTACACAGATCTTAGAACTGATCGTTTATTGTGTGGAATTTGAACTTTAGAACATTAGATCAATAACAATACGTCTTAATTATTGGACCATCATGGATAGAATAATTTAAACCAATTGTAATAGTCTAAACTGAACTTTATACATTGAATCGTTTATCAAGGACATGTGAGTTTCTTTTAGTATATGTGATCTCACTTCATGACACTTTGACCAAGCTTTACTATATAATAGCATCTGCATATTTATTAACTATTTGTGTGAGTTCATCGTATGAATATTTATAGAGTTCAGCCCAAACTCCGACGTTCTTACAGTCTGCCCCTAATTCTGTGGCGTACCCTGGGCTTATAGGTCTGGTATTATGTGGAACTAAGGAAGCGATGGAAAATACACCTGTGTCATGTACACCCACTGAAGACTGATCGTTCCGTGTGTTACATACATACATACATACATACATACATACATACATACATACATACATACATACATACATACATACATACATACATACATACATACATACATACATACATACATACATACATACATACATACATACATACATACATACATACATACATACATACATACATACATACATACATACAAACATTTGTAAAGCGCTAGTATCCAGCGTAAGCTGCTCAAAAGCGCTAGTGTCTGAGATAATTGAAAAGGGTCACTGAAATGCCATATTGAAGAAGAAAGTTTTGAGCTTAGATTTGAACGTGGACAATGTTTGCTCGGTTCTTATGTCAAGCGGGAGACTGTTCCAGAGAAGGGGTCCTGCACATTCAAAAGAGCGGTCGCCAAACGTTTTTGTACGGGAGGAGGGTACAGTTAGGAGAGACTTGTCACATGAGCGCAATGTCCTCGGTGTGTGGTATCTGTTGAGCAGATTGCTGAGGTAATCTGGTGCTTTGCTATGGAGGGACAGGAACACCAGTACAAGTATCTTGTACTGTATCCGGTAGCGCACTGGCAGCCAGTGTAGGTCCTGCAGGACTGGTTGTATGTGGTCGAATTTCCTCTTCCTGCGGACAACTCTTGCTGCGGTGTTCTGCACTTGTTGCAGTTTCTAGATCAGGTGGTTGGGAAGCCCGAAGAGGAGGGAGTTGCAGTAGTCCAGGCGGAATGTTACATGAGCCTGGACAAGTGAGATGGTTGAATGCTGGTCGAGGTACCGCCTTATTAGCCCAATATTTCTGATGTGGAAATAGGCTCGCCTGCAGATGGTATTAACATGAGACTCAAGACTGAGGCTGCTGTCAAATGTCACGCCCAAGTTGCGAGCTTCTTTGCTGATAGTTACAAATCGGCAACCTCACGCTCACTTAGACGGACTGTCCTGCTCCCAAGAGGATACAGTGTTACATTATGTGAGGCCGGTAGTGAAACGCTGCCTCACAAAGTCTTTCTAAATCAATTGAAACAATTCTGACTGACTGACTAACTGAGTTTGGTTTTACGCCGCTTTTAGCAATATTCCAGCAACATCACGGCGGGGAACACCAGAAATGGGCTTCACTCATTGTACCCATGTGGGGATTCGAACCCGGGTCTTCGGCGTGACGAGTCAACGCTTTAACCACTAGGCTACCCCACCGCCCCGAAACAATTCTGAAACACAGAGCTAAAGGAGAGGCAGGTGTTCCTGTCAGAATGGCATTAGATCGTGTCTCAAAGGATTTTATCAACTTGAAAAACCGCTAAATAGATGTTGCTTTTGGAGGGATCAGAAGTACTGAATATCATACCCCTGTGCTTGATAGACAGGCTAACATATTTCAAACCGAAATCAGCTATGTGTATGATCCAAATTTCATCGAGGAATGTGCAGCTGAACTATGTATTACACGGGCTAATGTAAGAAAATAAACGTTTGATATAAACGTTGACGCCAGAGAATAACGTATCCCTGTCAGCAACGTCTTGGTAATGTTGGGAAACATTCCAGGGACATACCTACAGGGCACGCTCAAATGTGCCAAAGATATTCAACAGGCCAATGAAGCATCGATAGTAGGGTACTATATCACATAAATATATCATACATTTTAGGTGCTCAAGTGGCTTCAAATAATTCATCAGCTACCATGCTGGTCATAAGAAGCGAACAGGCAGATCTGTTGGCCAAACTCGGTGACCAGACTGTGTAAATCACTGCACACGATATATTGGTCAAGACTCCACAGTTTACAGGTTGCCGTCATATAGCTTTATGGCATCGATGTGTAACATGCTTTTAGTTTGATGATGACACGTCCGAAATCAAAGAACTTCTGGTCTTCAGTATTAAAGAAAAGGAATCCCCGATTTCACACTTTCTCTGCCTAATGAATTTGCCCTTAACCTTACGTCCGCTCCTACGTTGCCAATGAAGACGGTCATCTGCTTTGCAGAGATGATAAAATCCTATTTCACTCACAGACATCCCTTTGTTTGTGGATTGGTCCATGACCTGATATGGTGAACTCAGCCACATTGTCCAATATTGTTTGAACTCCCTGCAGTGAACACAGTGATACAACAGTTATATACAGTCAAACACTTACACTGTAAGTCATTCACTAGCTATCTGAGGTAATTGTGATAATTGTTCAACAGAATGGCACGGCTCACCTGGTTTATTTCCTGATTGAAGACGGCCAACGAACACCCTATGTGACGTCAGTGTCCGGTATCAATATCTCCACCACAAACCATGGTTTTCAAAGAGTCCAGCTTCTAAAACCTGACATACCAGCAGTGGAGTTTCCACCTGACACCTGGACCTTCAGCATACTGGCACCTGAGGTAGGTCTTCGTCTGTGTTAGGGCATGACTCACTTTGACACACACAGATCATTACACGAATGTCTGTATACAGTTATCTCTCAACATTTGTTGTTTGTAAAGCAAAAGCGGATTGTAAAACACGTGATATCTGACAGACACTAGTGAAGTTATCTCTCATATCTCTCATACTTTTAGTTCGTAATAACCGTTGTTCGGCAGATTATCAAGGCGATGATTTGAATAAAAGGTATTGAACAAAATATATTCGAAGTCAACCATTTGGAGCATTTGATGAGGCGAGTGTACGCTTCATATTCTATACTGCTGATGTAATAAACTGAAAAGGACCAGTAACTTTAGGGTTTTTCTTTATTTGACTATGAAACGTGTTGGATGAAGTCATGTGACCACGCCATAGCACTCTATATTAAGTTTCTCTTTTATGACACATAACATCAGTAAATACGTGATGTAAGTATATTATTGAGACAATTAATGTGTAAAGCTTTACGTTTGCGATTTGTGACTCCCACAGTAATTTGTCAATACGGATTTACCTATCACTAAACGTTGCATTTATACACAGAATATATACACCTCAAAGGCTACAGCCGCACGTGGCTGCGTAGGCTGATTGGTTATCATAATAAAAAAAATTAGTGTATCCTTTTCGTTTCCAGTGGAGGACTTGAAAGCCCTTCAATATATGGAATTATGTACCTGTATAAATCATGTTCATAATCTGGTCAACTCCTGTCAAATCGATTCAGAGCTAATGAGAGAAATAAGCGGCACTCACTGGGATACAGACAATCACCCCCTCCTACAGATACAGATCATGTCCACACTGGGCTGCTCCAGTCCTCCATTCCCCACCAGTAATGATGAACTAAACTCCCAACAATATAAAACCCTCACAATAGGCACCAGCTGGCTAGTACCCCTCTAAACACCCTGCACTGATATCAAGTTTCACATCAATCACACAAAGAAGAAAAAAATCACTGTAAACTACCAGACTGGGGGTGACAACAAAATATCAAAACACTAGAAAAACCATCCGTAAAACCCTAATAAAGTCCCTTACCTCACCCACCTACAAATGCTGGTCCCAATAAACAACACAACACCCCCCATAAAGTAGAGCGTCGGGTCCAGTACCTTATTATTTCCCTTCTGCTCAGCCCTATCTACGATGCTAAATTCATTAATGAAGCAAGCCTACATTTTATAACTTTGACTGGTTTTGGTTCCGCAAACTCCATTCCCCACCCAGTCCCGTCTCCAGGTTCTCTGGTCTGGGCAAACTTATGATTAATTTCTATATGTAAACTATCTCCCAGTACCTACTTTTATGCTCATGATTTGGGATATTTTCTTCTCTATTGCTTTGTCCGTTTTTCTTTAATACACCCCTATCAAGAGGTGAGTTTTACCTTTTACAGGTGTCGTAAGATATGGTGCTTCATTCTCGGATTTAAGGATTGTAGTGGCTTTGCTAGAGTAATCAGTTTCACTGACTTTCGTGTCTGCCCCATAAGAACTTGGGTATCTAGCCCTCGATGGCCGAGGATGGTTAATAACACCAGTTCCCTACAACCGAAGGGCAGGAATGACTTTTGCATCTATAGGTGTCTTGTTATAGTGAGTTGCCACTTGTCCTGCGATAGGTCCGTAACTTGAGTAGCCCTTGGATATCCGGTTCTCAAAGTAGACACATTGTCGATTAAATTCAAGACTGCTTGGTCATTAAGCTACTGTTCTGTCGAATGCGGAAGTGGTCCTCTGACTGTGATACCAACGACTTCGTGAAACATGGGATTCCTGAACTGACACGTCATAGTGTATTACTCAAGCCCTCTTGTGTACCCCCTTTGTTATATGTAGCACTGAAACCTTTGTTAAGAAATAGCTACAGACAGTGTTATTTCTTGTTTGAAGTTCTGTTCTGATAAACCAAATAATCAAAACCCAAAGTAACAAAATCATATACGACAAACCAATCTTGAACCTTGGGAATTCTAGTTTCAAGTTCTAAGTAAGTATACATGATGTATCATAATACAAACCGAAAGTACGTGAAGAAGGTATATACTCTGAAAATATTGACCTGAAATCATATTTGTAGTGTTTTGTGGGCCCTTCACTGCCTGACTTGTTGTTCCTAGGAGCAGAGACGACACAACTAAGTGTTGACGATATGCCTTTTTACTCCCCAAGTGTCAGTTCCGTTCCTGTACATCACGCACATGTGCACTACATCACATGGTGTATAATATGATATTACTACGCTACAATATTCATCATTACTAAAATCTCATGTCATCTTAATGTCATACAGTGCTGCGATTTGTGAAATGTGGAAACATAAGTAGAATTGTAACCTTACAGTTCAGAATTTGCATGTGCTATAGTGTTAATTCAAATACATGGCCTTATAGAAATTAATTTGCACTATTTTTCACCAAAATGATAACTTCGATTCCTCAAAGGTTAACGTTCGTCATCAAATAACTATTTTCATAATTCAATAAATTAATCTGTGCTTTCCAATATTAAAGTTTTGTAGCTGTAAAGTGTTCCTCTTCAGGTGAAATGGGAGATTTAGCACTACTGTCAATAACTTTTGATTTCAAAGTAAAATAACCTAGTCCATTAAATTAGACTCAATTTCCAAGCGGAATAATAGTCTGCCAGATATGTGGCCGTGACCTAGCGTTGTCCGTCGTCGTTGTAACTTGCCTGAAACGCTGAAACAATGCAAGAAAACGATTCCCAGTATGTGGTACTATTTTACGAGAAATTTCTTAAAATAGGAAAACAGATCCGTTTATGAAGGTAATAATGTCTTAACTGTCGTACTGGCATTGAACAGATTCCAAGCCCCCTCTTCAATTCGTGTGGAAAAATAATACTTTTGGAAATCCGTTCAATTAATGTTCCGGATATCAACTACAGACTGCATGCTCCGTGTGTATGATGTAGCATAGTGTTCTCTTTTCGTTTGTTCATATTACAGTATCTAATCCTTGTCTTACCATTTATAGGTGCATGTTCCTGCGACAGAAACTACTTACTGGTGGCACACCACGCGTCTTCCGCCGCTTCGCCACAAACATCACATCATTCAGGTAGGATCCTCAAGTCAAATGTTATGTTAAATATGTTAACCAATTAATGTGCAGTGAAGATTCTGCCCAACATCTGCTTTATGGAAAACAAACAAAACGCAAAAACTACAGTTTCATTGACTGAACTATGCTATTCCACGACACGTGCGTTCGCTTGCGACGTGATTCGCTGCACGTGATTATTGTGTTCTACTCTTATTTTCAAGCTTTCTGGCCGCCTGTACCATGTTCAAACTAACTGCGTGGCATTGCCGTATGTATGGAAGAACAAGAAACTGAAACGAAATAGCCCCATATTTTGTTAAATTGAATCTCTGAGCGTGTGTTGGGCGTTCAGTGAAACGTAACCGCATGCAAGTGTGTGTTTATAGGCAAAAACATGCAAAATGTGAAGAATTATATTCCATATCGATCTCGTTCGTACACCGCTGTCTGTACATCAACCCCGCCCTTTCGTTTGATGCTGTTACTGACACTTTGACAATTTCACACATTTCCAACAATATTTTGGCCTATATTATTTATATTGGGGCACATGCACTCACTTCAGCTTCCTATTGATGCCATCAGCTTCCTATTGATGACTTATTATCCTTTACGGCTTGCCTGAAGTCGAGAATTGAAACTTCGAGGCGAACAGTTTCCGAACGGAGAACACTGGCCAAATATGAAACGTAAACAATTGCTCCGTACATCGAAAACTGTCGCACGCGGTTTTGTCGTAGTTTGCCGAACTGGTTTCAATCATAAGTTGTGCCAAGGATATTCGTAAAGAGAGACATAGCTCTATGGGGTTCGCTTGAAATACTGTTCGGCCGGTAGAGGGCGCGAGAGTCGATTTACTTAAACGTTGCATTAATTCATTCGAACTTTTTAATTTAATATTTTAATGTAATGCGTAATTTCTTGCGGGGGAAGAAATTATATGGTAGCTTCCCTGAGGGCATATAGTATTATTGAGGAAAATGCTGTATTCATTTTTTAGAGAAGGTGAGGTGAGGTGAAATTGGGTTTAACGTCGTACTTGAGAATATTTCGCTCATATGACGACGTCATTTTTAGAGAAGCGTGGTGTGAAATAGTGCCTTAATCGAAGCTGACTCGATTGTGATGAATTTCACTTCTTCAGTTTTGGGTCATGTAGTTAACATGACCTGTTTTGGCGACCAGTCTCATTTCCTAAAAATTGACTGATAAAATTCAATCGGTTTGCGATTGATTTTTGGAGTGGAACATATAGCATATCATATGTAGTAAATGATAGTGTTCCTGATGTCATTGATTAAGTGCTGCATCACATAATCACAGGACACGTATTAAGCATTTAATGTTTGACTCGTCAAGGCCATGATGATTTGCAGTACGAAGGCGTGATAGACAGAGGAAGTGAAGATGTGGTCCATCACATTGAAGTGTTCCACTGTGTCGGCGTGGGGGACCACATGCCATTTTATAGTGGACCAGGACAGGCTGAAAACAAACCACCAACACTAAGTAAATGCCGAAACGTCATAGGTGCATGGGCTATGGGAGCGGGGGTAAGTTAATGTTGCTCCTTACATCTAACACCGCTAACGACGAAGAGTTAATCTTAAAAGCATGTGAACAATTTTCGGAAGCGTACAACTTGGAAACATTCACAATTCTTATCAGTTATTTAATAAATGATGTTATTTATTGAATCTTGAGATTTGATAATTTGACTAACAGGGTAGTGTGTCCAATGTCTGCACTTACAAGTCCTTGTTTCAGCCTATTGTGTACCCTGAAGAGGCAGGTTCTCCCGTCGGAGGTACTGATTCTTCTCCATATGTTCTATTGGAGATTCATTACAACAATCCAGAACATATACAAGGTAACGCCATACTTAAAACGGGGTATTAGAGTTCAAATACTTTTTGATACATTTTGATAATTTTCACCAATAATTATTATTCTTAACAAAGCAAAATCGCATATGTGCAAGTCGCTGTGTATCTACGGATGTCCTTTGTTAAAATAATTTGTGAAAAATATAAAAATGTTTCAAGAAATATATGCACTGTAACAGAGGCATGGATAAGAAGCTGAGGCAAAACGTGGACCGAATATTTTTTAAATGATTTAATGCCCAAATCCAACCGATCCTTTAATATGGATCAGAAATATGGCGATTCCAACGTTACGATTGTCTCGAAAAGCTACATCTCTTAGCATGTAAAAAATCCCTAACCTTTCGTCCATCAACAGCCAATTGCATGTTCTATGGCAAATGTGGCCATTACACCATCTATTATACATCAGATCCCAACTTAGATGCTTGAAATTATGGTTTAATATTCTTGGAATGCATCATAGCCGAATCCCCAAACTTGCTTATAATATTCTTGTACATTTAAATGACATTGGTAAAGTAACATGGGCTTCAGATATACCAGAAGGATATCTGTCAGAGTATCTGTGTCTGCTGATCTGATGTAATCAATCAGGAGTCTGATCCTTCACGATATATAGTGGGAATGTACTGAACAGGATGAGATCGTGGTTATACGTATGACGATTCCCAGCAGAAACTACAATTAAAAGTGCTGCTTCCAGGCTGTCTGTGACTATGCACATTTGAATCCAATGTTTGGAAAACTTCGTACAAGACCCCCAAATCCTCATGAATACTGTTTGTATATATCATTAAAATGATCATCTTAGTTTCTCAAAAACAAATTTGAATACAAGATTGAGTCAAAAAGTAATATCACCCAGGTGTGAAAGGTCAGAGAAATGATACTGTTGACTCCGCGGTAACTGATACAGGTTCCTGTACCAACAAAAGGCAGTTTACAGGAATGTGTGTACAGTGGTTTCTTCTAAGTGGGTTAAGTAGATATCAGAGATTAACGTGGAAAGAAGTGATCCCACTGGCAGGACGTCATCTGCTTGTTGATCTCACAAAGTAAATCTGCATCAGCTCCATATTAGTATAGAGAAAGAACATATGCAATAGCTCCATACCTGCGCCAGTCCCTCCACACGCAGTACATGAAGTTATACCGTGAAACATCACCCTACTCATGTTTAACACTAACGACATTTGGCACAATGTGAAGACTCAGAAACTATATAATACTTCACCTGACATTTCTCAGAGAAATGTGTTCGTTTGCCAATGAACATCAACCCTATATTTTTATTGAAATAACTGCCAATATATCCCCCCAATATGAACATAAATTCCAGAATGGCCAAAGGAACTGGTGAATCAGTTGCCTAATGGACACTCGCAGTTTCACGACATTATTTATCCTGTTCGGGACATTAGTGAATATGCCAAATCCATTAGCTAAACAAATGTAGATTCGTACCGAGTTACTTCCAGACTTTTCACCAGCTTCCCCATTTGAGATCCAATCACAAACCAAAAAGGTTACGACATATTCTTCTTGTCAATATTGTCATCCACCGATTGATATTAATCTTGTCGTACATGGCAATGCAGGTCACTCAGTTACTGAAAATAAGAATGTTTTCAAATATGTACATATCTACAGTTCACAAACAAAACGTCTCCTCAGTTCTGTCATCCATGACAGTTCAGAATGTATTGAGTGCCACATGACAGCATGCATCTGTACAAATATAGAATGTCTGTACAAAAGAATATGCAATCTTGACTATCCTCAGAAACAAATTCTGTTTAGTGTAAAGGAAAAATTTTAGCTGTGAAAATTATGTGAATGGATAACTGTGATCAATTTCAGATTTGACAATTACTTAATTGAACAAATTATTATTTAAATATTTCTCACTCGTGTAAGTATGGTCATGCAAATATGCCTGCTTTAAATCTTTGAAAAGTTACTAGTGCATTGTATACTTCAAATGGTCTTCTGCTAAACTCACAAACCAAGTGTTTTATGTTGTTTCTGTGTTTGTCGGACGTGTTTGTTTTTTTGTTGGTTGTATTTTTTTTTTGTTATTGTTGTTGTTTTTTCGGGTGTGTGTGTGTTTGTTGTTGTTGTTTTTTTGGTGTTTTACTGTTGTTGATTTTTGCGGGTTTTTTGCTCTTGTATTTTGTTGGTTTTATTTGTTTTGTTTTGTTTTGTTTTTTTGTGTGTGTGTTTTGTGTGTTGTTTTTTTGGGGGTGTGGGTTGGGTTTTTTTTGGGGGGGGTATTCCTCCAGTACCACTTAATTATGATTCATGCTTGGTGTAAGATTATTCGATTTTAAAAGGGGGAATGGGGGAAATGCACCTTTTCTGGTTGTACTATTCCATTGTTGGTATTGAAGAGTTGCATATATTTTGGCACAGCAAGACTACGGGGAATGCGTTAGATTCCTGGCGTTTCCTTGTTACACCTCGACTAAAATGTCTCTTAATATGATCTTAACTTATCTGTCGGTATATCCTGGGTCAAAGCCACCTGTGGAATGTTCCTCAGATTCATCTAGCAAAACCTCACCCTGATTAACAAGTTATTCTACACCACCTCATGTCACTTTTGTTAACCCAAGGCCCCGATAATTGAAGTTAACGAAATTAGTGGACGGTTTAATGGCCCCCATTAAGGCCTACAAGACCATACTGATGTGCCTCTTTTTAAAAATCCTTGGGACATTCATGACAGCCATGGAAGTGTTAAAATCAGGAATGATTCTTGACCCTACTAGGATGTGTTTGGTGTTACGTTTTACAGACATAAACGTCCAAGCATAGGATGTTTATCGTGAATAGTTTTATCTATTCTCATACTTGACATTAATGTTTATATGACAAGATCCCTTCCTATATTTGAAGATTTTATATCACAATAAAGCTTTACAATATTCCAATTCTACAAATGTACCAAATGGAGACTAGACTAGTACAGAAGAACTAAATTGTGGATTCAGTAAATACCCACGCAAGAAATAATGTACAAGTATTACTGGTTAAAGGTTACACATAATACTCGGCCCTACTATGGGTCAAGTATATGGCTGAAAGGATAAAATCAGCCAAAATACCTGTATTTAAGGCCCTATTTGCGGCCGGTCACGAATGTGAAGTATTTGTCGAACTTAATTATGTGAGGCATATGCTTCTTCTATCAAGGTTTCCAGTTGTCATGCGTTCCGCACTGGGTAAGTTGAAAGGCACAAGTCGGGGTCCCTTTACCCTTTACTTCCGATACATGTATATACCGGGATATAATTTTCTAAGAGCTCAATAATATCCAGTACCCCATGACATTAGGTGCATAACCAGTACGTGAACTGCACCGTTACTGTTGCTGCATACAGTTAGGTTCAGTTACAGTGACTGCCCAGGACCGTCTCATACTGGTACATCATTGACGGTGAAGGTAAACATTAAAAGTCATCTAACAGAAGGAATTCCTGTTTTCTGAAGGATATCGTTCCAACCAGACGAGGTGTATTTTTAAAGACGAAAACCTCCTGCAAGTTATCCATCACACCCTATATTGGCTAACTAGTGATGGAGAGTTGACTGGTTCAGTGACTGCTTAATATTTGATACAAACTTCTGGGTGAAACGTTTCTGAAGTTGAAATACATGCTATTTTCTTTGCAATGAGGGAAATAACTCATGCGACTGGTCATTATAATAGGGTTCCAGACCTGAACCTTTGTTGTTTTCAATGTAATATTTGTCCACTATTGTCCGCAATAGCTTATTCACTCATCAAGAGTTCAGATCTACAGAAAAGTGTACTTCTTCCAACAAATGTATACTTACGGCCCTTCTATTACTCAATGTTTGCACAACGCGATATTCAAAGTACGAGTTGTAACCGCACACAAACAATTAATTCTATGCATAGCAATTATATATTCTTGTCATACTTTTCTGAAATGTTAAACTCCCAACCCCTGCTTTCATTATGCATTTCCTATAAAGATACCCGAATTGTGAAAACCTGACATGAATATGCATTCCCCGAACGCGTGTTTATCACGAACGTTTGTGGATTTATTTCATAGTTCATTCGGCGTTTTGGTTGTTTGGGGGTTGTTTTTTATCTTTAAAAAGGGGGCGGCTTTTCACTTTTAAAGTTTTAATTTTACCCAGTATTTTCATATAATATTTTTCATCATTTTTTTTTACTACACGTGAACTGATTGAAACACATTGTTCTTATTTTTATAGTTTTATAGTCCTGTTTTGATGTTGCAAAAGATTATTCAAAAAGGTTTGCAAATATATGTCTATACAATTCAATGTCATGAACAAGTCAACGTAATTGAACGGTATTTTGCCGATGTTATTTTGTTCTCATTTTAAGCAAAAACATCCTTTGGGCTCACCCACTTAATCAGACATTTATCAACGAGCATGAAACCTCACAGATCTGTTCCACAGATTAAATTAATCTTGAAGGAAGACTGTTCCCATTACTTTAACTGAATGTCTGCTGTGTGTTCAATGTAGGTATAGTGGACAGTTCAGGGATACGGTTTTATGTAACTCGCCAACTGAGGCAGTACGATTCCGGAATCATGGAACTAGGACTGGAATACACCGACAAAATGGCTCTACCCCCAGGACTTCCTTCTGTCTCACTTTCAGGATTCTGTGTACAGACGTGTACTCAAGTCGTGAGTATTTTAAATATGGTCTTTCAATGATATCTAATCAATGTTACATTTTATTGAATTATGTTAGTTAAAACAGTATCACAACTGTACTGTGCAGTATAACATTTGCAAATGGACGCTTTATAAACATTGGTGGATATTAAAATATGCTAAAATCATGTCACAGGGTGTTCCATCCAGAGGGATACACATCTTCGCCTCACAGCTCCACACACATTTAACAGGGAAAAAAGTGTACACTCGCCATGTTCGAGACGACAGGGAATTACCAGAGCTTAATCGCGACAATCATTACAGTCCCCACTTCCAAGAGATCAGGCGGCTGCCAGTTCCTGTCAACATTCTCCCTGTAAGTTTACTAAATTGTAGACGATTGAGATTAATTATGTTGGTATGTACTAGTTAAAGTCGTCACATTGGCATGTTTTGCATGGCATCTGATAAGAGGAAGTTATGAACCATACGTCACAACTAGTCACGAATTGGAAAACCTATCCATTATCAGCTCGACCTTGGGAATTTTGTCCGAGTTCATTAACACTTTTAAGGTGATGTGAGCTTATTTGCCATCATCTATGTGACTTTGTAGAAATGTGGCACCAGGGGCTAATTGTTTGTTGTAGAGAGCCAACGCCACCGGTGTGGTGGGTTAGTTTGACAGTGACGACTGCTGTTTTACAGTGAACATTAACAACGTGGGTGTGGAGAAACCAAACTTTACACAAAATTATCATAGCATAAACCACATATAAGTGTGTGCCATTTTATCATTTTAGGTTTTTCTTGTGCTCAGGAGAAGCCCCCAGTACTAAATCTTGATGTTCTGGAACAAAACCTCCAGCACGATTGAAACACAATACATAAACGTCGAATTAAACCTCTTAAACAGTCAATGAGCAGGGTCAGGGTGTTATATCAGTTTGGAGAGGTCAGTATAGGTTAAACACCCTTGCAAGGTAGTTGTTTAAATAAACTCTGCGTGGGCTTTAGCTCTGCATTAGCCCGAGCAGAGTTTATTTAAATAACTACCGTAGTGAGGGGGATTAAACTTCCAAAATTCCAAGCCAGGCAGCCGGACTGGTTACTTTAAAAAAATATCAGTCCGGATACAAACTTCCTGTCCGGTTTTCAACAATGAAAAAAAATCAGGTTTCTGAATACTTTACCGTTTGTAGGCATCGCAATGAACAACATAGCACTTACAGGCAATGCTCCGAGTAAAACTGAAAGTACATCAGCCTGGTTCCCTGGGTCTGTTATAATTATCATAATACATTAAACACCTCAAACTGACGACAAGAGAACCTGTCTGATATTATGAAATATTTACTGTTAGGGGTAAAAACATCTACCAGACTACCGGGCAGGCTACTTTTGACCGCCCGAGATGAAAATAGACCGTTCCGGACGGTCGGGCAGGCGGGAATTTTAAACGCTGTTAAAAACGGCTTACACCACGAGGGCATACTTATTTAATACGCGTGTAATGTATTAGGCATGATGAAGATTATCAAAATAAGTACAATTTATTGTTTTTAAATAGAAATAATTGCCCAAGGGCAGTTATTCAGTTATGCTAATACAACACTTCCAAGAACAATGGACATAACTTTCACTGGTGGTTTAACACCAGATATTGACATTGTGCTCGGTTATTGATAATGATGTGATTTCTAAAGGATTACATGTCAAACTCTTGTGAAAATGTCCGCTCTTGGTAACGTTGTGCGTCCCTATTTATCGGCCCCACAAAATGAGTAAATGGTGTGCCATGTTTGCTTCTATTAATGAATTACATTCGTTCTTTTTTTATATACGAACACTATGAAAGTTACGGTTACGATTAAAATTAAAGTCAATGTAATAAAACTAGAAATGTTCTATTGAAATTTCTTCTGGATCAGGCACGTTTCATATTAAACCGGAAGTGAGGTTATTAAACGAAATTGTTCATAACTTTCTTATTGCGACTACTACAGAACCTGTACTGAATGGGCATGTGTCAACTGTCAACTGATGTCACACTGTCAAACATAGTTCATAATACATATGATGATAGGTATGTTTGAAGGTATTCAGGAAACGGTGGAGTGGATCTGCTTCTGGTTTTGCAGGGAACGTTAAGACCTTTGTGGTTGAATTTGCGTTGGATTTTGAATCATACCACCTTTATTCCGATTTACATGTTGCAAAGTTGGGTTGTTATATTCATATCATCCTAACCTTACTGTTCACCACACCTGCTGCTGATTATTCTGTCTCATCTAACCCATCTTTTTATGAATTCTGCAATCATTAAAAGACGTCACATAAACAATACAGTCGTTACAAAAACGTAAAAGGACAATCAGAGACCATTTAGATAAATAACAGTAACATCAAAAGGAACACTTCTTTATTACAGTAGAAGCATTTGCTTGATAGCGGTGTTAAAACGTCGCATCTGTTGCAATACAGGAGTTGTCTATCCACACAAAAGTGTTCCTCTTCATCATACCAGCTTCTATATGCCACTTAAAGAAACAGTAACATCTTTAAAACTCAGTACCTTTAGCCAGCCTGGCTTTTCCTTAAATAAATGACAAATAAATGCCTAAAATGTTTAAATGGTTCAAAGTGATTAAATGTAAACGTTTGGCAAAATGAACTTCATGTTGGTGGAAGGTTCACGCAATCAAGCAAATTATATTTGACAGATAATAGATTTAGCGTTAGATTCTTAAAAAGATGGTTTGTGGCGGATATAGAATGTGTGATAAAGTATTTAACATTAGTACCGATTAATAAATGCAATTGTTTGTCCTGTTCCAAATGAATATGCATTTGTTTAAGGGTGATGCGCTGGTTACTACATGTGAGTACAACACAGTGTCGAGGAAGAACGTCACTGTGGTGAGTTGTTTGAATCACTGAAGAGCAATATATATAATGGAGCCAGTTATTCTTATGTACTTGCAAAAGGTATCATTTCCTACTTCGTTTGTTTGGGAGAGTTCTTGTAGCTGCTGACTTTTGTACTTTATGTTTAATGAATTGTGCGATGGTTCCAAACAGGACCGTTTCGTGAGTAAAGTTCTGTGTTTATTGTGAGTTATATTACCCGGACGGCTCGCAGACATTTTCGAAATGTGTGATTTGATAGAAGATGCCTAATCCTCTGTCACCTCACATTACACCACGACCAATGGTTTCTGTGACGATCTAGTTTTCATCCTGGGTATCCAGTCTAGGCCCAATTTCAAAACCTGACCACTGCTGCTGCTAGCTGAATATTATCATTATATTAACTTCTACCATATTTGATACCGCTATTGAATATTGTGCTGCCACTCTATTGTGTAATCCCATTGTAATGATTTTGCAGTAGTTTGTCCAATTACAACACTGTATTACAATGAAATACAATACCATAGATCACTCTCCCCCTTCGGAAAAGTATAGACAGATGGATTAAGATGAAAAGGCAAAATCAAAATGTAACGCTATCAAAACTGATCACGCTCCAACAACTTTTGAAAATATAGATTCACGATGACGATTTAGCTAAAATTACAAATAGCGTTATTATTATTATTCTTGGATATTTATATAACGCACATATCCACGCACTAGTGCATGCTCAAGGCGCTGGTATTTTGGCGCTGGTATTGATCATTAGATGTCAATCTCAACAGCACATCTTATCAATCTCAAATCCCTGGGGAACATTTTGTGTCTTAGTTTTGCCTTTTTATCTTAATACATCTACTTTCACTTGAGTAATAAACTTGTATTAGAGCCAGCGACGAAGAAAGAAGATAGGTGGAAACAGTATTGTACGGACACAACACTTATTAAGACTTTCGGATGCAGCAGATATGATCGTTTGAAACCATCTGTAGTAGCATGCGTGTTAATAAAATGACAATGAACAGACTGGCAAGCCCTCCTCCCTGTCAGCTTGTCAGCATTTCTGTTTCAAATCAGTAATGATATGCGATCAGTAATTATACTTGATGACACCAGTGAGACATATTTAACTTAATTGGCGGTCTGACATTGAAGATTATCGTATGTCCAGAAGACATGTATTGTTGCCGGCTCTTTCCGAATGCATGTGCTCGAACATTTCTATCACTGATGATCTTTCAAATACGATTAATGACATAAATATTCTGAAATTACAGCGTTATTGTTCACACATATTCAGTGGTCGTTCTTCGGATAGTGTGGGCTGTCCACCCACCTTACACTGACAAATCATCAAACTATATGTATAGGGTGGTACATCGTAGATCACCTGGTCACAGGTAAGCTTCTTTCACAATTATTGTAATTATATTCTATGTCCATCTCGCGTGACGCTCAGCAGCCACGGACAGACCGTTCAATGACATGACAAATACACGACCTACACACATACGTCATGCTGCTTGTTTTGTAGGGGGGTCTTGCCATAACAGACGAGATGTGTGTAAACTATGTCCACTACTACCCCCGTGTGGATCTGGAAGTATGCAAGAGCTCCATTGATACATCAGCATTACAGTCGTTCTTCAAATTCATGAACAAGTGAGTATGTTCAGGACAAGTGTTGTCGCCATTTCTATGACTGAATGTAAACTCTACAACAACAAACAGAAACGCAAACGTGGTTTTCAAATGTATACTTTATGTGTCATATAAATAGTCAATAGTTACAATAAATCGTTCAAGTTTAGTAGAAGATATTATTATTCTTTTTATTGACTAAAGTTCATCATGGAACACTTGAACCATAGAACGTCAAGGTGAAGGTCATCTATTCTCAATGTCTTGTTTGTTCACCATGATGTATCGTCGCCCCATGGAACCAATGAGATTACGAATTGTGGCCAGGGGAATGTTCACCCACTCTTCCTGCAGTGTTTTTGCCTACTGTTGGAGGTTCTGTGGCTGTTTTAACGTGATCGCAGACGTTGACCAAGAGCATGTAACACATGTTCCATTGGGTTTATATCTGGAGACCTTGACAGTCACACGGAAGTACTTGGAAGTTGTCTTCGCGTGTGAGGTCGAGCATTGTTGTCTTGACAAATGACGTTTTCCTGTTGGATAATAGGAACGCAGAAGAATTTCATCTGTGTAACGTTGTGTCCTTAAATTGCCCTGGACGTGTACCCAGTTCTACCAGCATGGGAGATAGAAGACCACATCTTTACACTTCCGCCATCAAACTTGTCCATTTTTTGCATGACGTCATTAAACATGCGTCAAGTTATTTCCATACGCCTATGTCCTTGACACAATTGACGTCGCAACCGACGATGCTGATCAATCTGAAAGACCCCTCGTATTGGTTGTCGATCGGGTCTGGGTTGGTGACGTGTTGCCCCTCATTACGGTTCCATAGTCTTGGAAAGGTGCTTGGCGATACGTTGAAAAACCTGGCTCCGTCAGATATTTCCAGTTTTCTACTTTTGCCTTTCTAATTTTGCACCATATATCTCTAACCACTCTTCCAGCTAGATGACTAAGGCCTTCAATATGATGAAGGAGGAGATGTGGCGTCCAAAACTCTTCCACCAGATTACTCCCAAAGCCTCATATCTTGTCCTGACCAGAAAAAGAGATAGAGAGTGGTCATCCTCTCGTCAAAAGAATACCATTTTAGAGTGAAACTCTATGCCATTCCGACAAATGATTTTCTACAGAAGCAAATGGTGTAGCTCAGTATGAGACTCACCCTGAATAACTAAAACAGTGTATCAGTATTGTCTTACCTACTCACAACTCACCAACTCACAAGTGACCCTACTTTATCGGAGGATGTTTCTCTTATCCGTTGTTACTTATTTGTTGCTGCGGGAGGATAACTCTACCCATTGACGGGAGGATAACTCTACCCATTGACGGGAGGATAACTCTACCCATTGACGGGAGGATAACTCTACCCATTGACGGTCCCATTGTACCATGTGGTGTGATGGACGCATATTTTCATGATGCCTTTTGTGAAGTATCTTCTCACTTGTGTTGGCCAAATAGAGAGTTCCCGGTTTAGGCTAAAAAATAAAGATATTAGATGGCAACTTGCATTGCACAATGTTCCCACATTTGACGTTGTAAAAGCTGAAAGAATCATTCTAGCTTAAGACAAGAGCACACAAGTTACAGTGGATGTTATGTTTTCTGCCTTAACTCTTACTTGTTCTCATTTCTGCCATTTACAATCTGTGTTTATCTGTTTGACCGCGTGAAAATATATTGTTTTACCTGAAAGCAATGTGCTCTGGTTGAGTAAAATTGGGAATTTCCATCCAAATAGCGCAGCACTGAAATGAGTTAAGTTTTGTGTCTGTTTCATTTCATATATTTCAGTATTAAGGGCACGTGAAGACCCGGGTTAGAATTGTCTTCAGCAACAGATGCTTGTCGTAAGAGGCGACTAACGAGATCGGATTGTCAGGCTCGCTGACTTGGTTGACACATGTATTTTTATCACTGGATTGTCTGGTCCAGGCTGGGTTGTTTACAGATAGCCCCCATATAGCTGGAATACTGCTGAGCTCGGCGTTAAACAACAACAATTAGGCCTCAGGTCCACCTACAGCTAATACAATGAAAGTATTTTGAAATAGAGTGCTACAGAAAACATCTATAGTTGTAACAGTAGGGGAATTATGGGATCCAGTCCTCTGATATAAGTTATGTTAGCATTCAGCAAATGCCATGCATAAAATGACATTTTGAATTACATAATGGACGAAATCATAGTGGCCTATTGATGCACTATCTCCACCCAATAGTGTGTATATCTCCTAAAAAAGTGTTCTTAATTATTTACTAAGTCAAAAATGAACTTTTCAGAATGGAATTGCAGCCGACCTCTCCACTGAAGACTAGCCGTGCTAACTACCACGGAATTGATTGGAACCCTCTCAACATACACCTGTTGGAATACTTGTACGACACTTCATCACTTTCTGTGCAGTGTAACAAATCAGATGGACAACGATTTTGTGTAAGTAACAAATAGACACTTAGAAAAAACATGTGACACAAATAGGGGATTGCATGAAGTGAAAAGAGTATCAAAGATACTGATCTGATAGTTTGTGATATGTGATATAAATGACAAAATAATTGAATGTTAAAGGAAGCTGTCTGACAGTGTGGGATCATGATCTGGTTTTGTCTTCACTGGGACCTGGGGATACTAATCTTGCTCAGTTACAAATGTCTAGGCCTAGATTGCGAATGCTACACCACCTTGGCACAACGACGTCTTTTTCGATTGAAATGGCAGAACCCAGATCTTGGCATGCCTACACTTTTGCACTTCTGCTGTACTGTCATGTTTCACCATGACTTCTGTTACTCTGTATAATGCCTGAGTGAGTATGGTCACACGCCGCTTTTACCATACTTCCAGCAATATCACGGTGGGGAACAAAATTATGCTAGATTGCTTATAATATGCAATTTACACGTCTGAGTTCTGTTTGGGAAGCTTCAACTGAGAACAAGTCCTGGCAGGTATCATTGAACGTGACTGTTTGGCTATTTCTCAACAGACAAAGGCATGAGGGCTAAAACAGTTACTAAGTACAACACGAAGACAGCGTTCTATAATCCCCAGTGCAGGATGGTGGCTACACTAATGCTTAGTCTCTGAATATCATTTGTAACAAACAAGCCCATTTAAATTGAAAAGGAGCCCTAGGGGGACCAGAGATTCAGAACCTGAGGAAATCTAGACTTGCTTTATTTAGGGCTTTAGCACTGCAGAGAGGGCTAGGCAGTAGGGAAAATAATGTGGTTCAGGGACTGTGAGACAGACTAGATGGTGGGAGAACCAGCAGAAATAACTAAGTATACTGTATTTCTGACGTTCTGGTGTCCCCCGCCGTGATGTTGCTGGAATATTGCTAAAAGCGGCGTAAAACCAAACTCAGTCAGTCAGTCAGTCAGTATTTCTGACGAACTTACTAAAGAGGGTTGCTCACAGTTATTTCAGCTTAATGTGGGACGAAAATTCAAAGTACTGCTTGTCTTAAGCTGTCAAGCCGAGAAACATGACTGGGGCCAACACCTATGTGAACCCATGACCATAGGCTTCTACGGTGCCCAAGGGACGCAACTCTGCGCAGCGACGAGTTAGACGACTGACTGACCACCAATGCATCGTGCCCTGCCATGGAGCACATTAGAATTTTGTTTGTTGATATGGTAGTGAATAATAGGGACGTAAGGATAACTATACAGAGAAGAGCCCTTAGGAAGATATGGGCACGTTCAGTCATTTGAAATTTGTTTTTATTTGAAAATATACACCGAATTTAGTCCAATTTTCAGTCTTGATCAGTATATTTCAGATAAACTTGCAACGTTAAGTCAGTGTAAGACAGAAAGGTTGGCTGAAGGATACTTTGACTTAACACCAGAAAATATTAGTTTTTGTTTTAAGGGGAGTAACAATAATCCACTTAGTGCCGTTTGTCTCATGGTGAAACAAAATATTTACAATTTGAGAAGAAAAGGGAGAATTAGGAAAACCTAATTTTAAAAGCTTCCCAAAAGAAATATTAAGTTACTATCAAGCATGTAAATTTATCGCCTTTACAAACAACAATCAGTCCAATTTTATTACATTTTGGTCCTCTTTCCACACGCTATTTGTAGACTTATAGCTTAATATTTAATTGTAAACCTTAAAGAGTACACTTTAATGTTTCAATGATTTGCCTTGCAGGTGATTAGAAACAGTCAAACATGCAGTAGACGTTTTCATACACTGCACTATGTATACTTATGTACATGTAAACATCTGTTGAGAAATAATGGGTAATGTTAAATGACTTGTACCGTGCTGGTTACCAGATGCAGTCAAACATACACAAGTTGTAATTCATATACAATACGAAACATTATGTACCGATGCCTACCTATATATTATGTAGTTATGCCTACTTATCTATATGTAATATCTGCAAAGAAAGAATGGTCAATGTAACACCGTCTAAGGTAGATAAACCTGTAGATACTACCTATTTATGTATGCCTTGTATATGTGAACATCTACTCATAAAACGTTAAAATAAAAAAATAGAAAAGTTAAGTCAGTGTAATTAATTTTCGAACCTTTGGTCCATGTAACTTCATCAGTTTCTGAGAAAGGTGGGCACTTTGGTGGAGAAAATATAGTCAGCGCCATAACTCTGTCACAAAGACACCTATTTTCGAACCATTTGAGATTGATTGGGACCATGAATATTTCATTTCTTTTTCATTTCATGGAGCTCAAACATCGAATTACATCACTTTCACTTACGCCGGAGTTAGGTTACTGATTACAACCGTCTGCATGCTAGCCGGCTAACTGTACGCCGTTAACCAACTCACCTGACTAAGCTGAGACATCGAAAAACACTGACACTAACACTGACAAAAACTCTCCTAACGGGAAGAGATTTTACACTCCAGGATTATGCCCGGCACCATAACCCGATGTGGCACCATCAAGAATTCCACTTCTTCCCAAACTTGAAGAGGCACGGCTGGCGACGGTGCAATTCGCTGGGGAGTGTTGTGTCTCTTTGTCATGCTAGACTAGACCTAGAAACATTACGGGGATTCGGGCCCACAGTCATAGGTTTCTAGGTCTGACAGCACTACACCCTTTATCATGGGTTTTACCTATTGAGTAAACGGTTGAGACCTGCTTATCTTCGTCTTCCTCGCTCATTACGCTGATACGCCGTATCAAAACTGAAAAACGTTACATTCCAGCTGTTATTCACATTTATCCTCCTCCAGTGTAACTATGACGTTCCACCATATGTGATACCATCCAGTCGTTGTATCAGCAGATGTCATAATCTGTCATGTATTTCCACATACTATATACTTTCAGGGTACCTGGAATGGTGTTCCGCCTACAAGTGCCTTCAGTGGTCTCATGCATCAAGGAAGCATATGCAAAGGATCGGACTCGCCCATCTTGCTGTAAAATCACAGACAGAATTAGATTGTCAGTACCATCTTCTCCGAACTACATATATCTGAATTGATTACTGAGTGTCACTGTAATGATCTGTGTGGTATGTGAAACAGCATCAAGCGTTTCCCATGTTTCACGTTATACATGGAACTGATACTTGTGTGTATCCAAGTCCTAATGTGCATTACAATGCATCATGTGTATGAAAAGTGTGAACAATACATGGCAATTTGGTTGGATCTCATTCTCGTGCATTCTATTGTCCAAACAGTTTCAGCCGAAATCTAAAACCACGTGACCTGTACATGTGTACAGGATCAAATGACCTTTAGATGTAACAAGCAACAAATTATTGTTCAGAAACGTTTTCATTAACATATTACACCGAGGATAATATAACAACATTGGAGAGACCGAAACCACAGAAACGAAGGAATACTTTAATGTGCTAGCAACATGTTCAAGTTACAGAGATGGTAATAACATCTTGCAGTTACCGGGTCTGTGGATCTTTATATGGCACTGTTTAGACGTTATACTTTAGATCTAATTATATTTTAAAATTCTTCAAAGGCATTTGAAGTTGGTGTAGTAATGCAAGACAAATATGGATAACAACTTCTTGATTTATTTTACACAACGTTTCTGGGCTGGTTCTTGCCCCTTCGTCAGGTGGATAATGATCATAGTGAACAATACAGTTATATAAATATTGATGTACAGGAAGCCAGATATGTAAATAAGTATATACAAGCGCAAGGGGGGAAGGATATATAATTAAGTATGTACGAACAATGCAGTGAGATGAAAGAGAAGAATACAAGGATAGGGTATTATTGTAAAAACAAGAGTATGTTTACACAGCAGAGTGGTTTGGGAGTCTATAATTTCTTGGTGATGCACCAGGCGCTAGGGAGGTAAACCCCTTGATCCCTGTTGATCTCGGGTACTAATCTTATGTTGATTGATTCAAGAAGTTTTCTTTTGCGCCAATTACTGATGTTGGAAGCCAGGATTTCAGTGAGTTGCCAGTTGATAGAGTGATTTGGATTTTTGACGATGTGTTCTGAGAGAGCATATTTGAGATCAGATTTTTCAACTGAAGTTTTATGTTCTTTTAGCCTGATGTTGAACGGCCGGCAAGTTTCTCCAATATAACTGCTTCCAATCACTACAAATTTTGTAGATGCATCCTCTGGGATTGGGTTTGGTCTGGTTGCTGCCACCTCTTCTATTCGCTCTCAGGATTGATTTCAAAGTTTTATCAGAATAAAATGTCACATCTACACTGGCAGTTTTTCTAAGAGGTCGGCTGATGTGATGACTAATCTGGCCTTCGTAGGGAATGTTGATCCGGATGGGAGCTGGTTCGGGTTTGGGTGGACGGTCATTTTGTTGATGGAGGATTGTGGCTACGGTCTGCTCTACAAGTTGTTTGGGATATCCGTTGAGGGTGGTGAAGGTTGTTTTGAGGTGGTCGATTTCATCTTGGAGTTGGGCTAGGTCGCAGATAGCCTTGGCACGTCTGGTTAGGGTCGAAACTATGGCTCGTTTTATTTGTGGATGGTGGTTGGATAGATAATGAATATACTGGTCAGTGTGTGTTGGTTTTCTGTAGACAGAGGGAGTGATCTTGTTAGATGAATTGTCGAGAGATACATCAAGGAAAGGCAGCTTGTCTTGATCCTCAATTTCCAAGGTGAACTGGATGCGGCTGTGCTGTTTGTTGAGGTGATCTAGGAGGACTGCAGGGTTGTGGTCAGGATCAAGGATGGCGAAAGTGTCATCCACTTTCCTGTACCAGCATAATGGCTGGAACGGCGATGTTTGTAGGGCTGACTCTTCAAAGCTGTTCATGAAGATTTCAGTCATCAGAGGGGACAGTGGTGAACCCATGGGGAGCCCATGAATCTGTTGATAGATGTTGTTCTGCCATGTGAAATATGAAGTCTGGAAACAGCTGGATACCAGTTCGATTATACTGTCTATGCTGAGTTCTGTGTCAAGATGTCAACACAACTGTCTAATTGTGCACGGAGAATGTCCAGAACTTCGTATAATGGAATGTTTGTAAATAAGTCAACTACATCATAGCTGACCATTCGGCCTGATAATTTAGCGTCCAACAAATGATGCCGAGTCGCTGATTAAGGATTTACCTTCTTTCCCCAAGGGAGCAAGCACTTTAGAAAGAAATTGAGCTGTATTGTAGTAAACTGAAGCTCGTGAGCACACAAGGATTCTAGTTTTGACAGGCTTTTTATGAATTTTCACAGTGGCACGGGCATAAGGAGATTGACTATTAATTGGATTTAACTTATTGTACAGTGTCATTGATTTGCTTGCTGTCATGGAGATCCTTTGTACATACTTAATTATATATCCTTCCCCCCTTGCGCTTGTATATACTTATTTACATATCTGGCTTCCTGTACATCAATATATATATAACTGTATTGTTCACTATGATCATGATCCACCTGACGAAGGGGCAAGAACCAGCCCAGAAACGTTGTGTAAAATAACTCAAGAAGTTGTTATCCATAACATTGTCTTGCATAATTATATTTAGATAACAATAAACTAGGCCTACTATTTTATCAAATTAAAGCTGATAGATCCCTTATGATTCTATAAATGACTGAGCTCTCACTCCCTCTCAGTAACTTCACAGGTCAATGTGTGGATGACGTAACGCCACCATTGTAAGAGTCCAAGCATCGACCCTACAGTGGATGAGAATCTCCAGGTTACCGATGGCTCACCCCATAGTGAGATGGCCCCTGTAATGATACACTGTGCATCGTAACATGCGGGACAGGAGAGACGATCATTTGCAACGACATTTCTCTGGAACACGACACCCGTCTGAAGGAGATACAATCATCGTCCTTCTGCTACTGTCAGATATGGGCTGGGCTAACATTCACTCGCCATTCACATACATCGGGCACTGTGTGTTTGTAATGTAAATGCTAATATTGTGATATGTAGACCTTATACTGTATCAAATACCCAAATAATGAAAACTTGATAGTACTGACATAAAATGTTAATATTCACCTGTGATGATATATAAAGCCTGCCTAGATGATTAGGGATCCACAACCAAACTGTGCTCTCACGAACCGTCATGGTGACATTGTTCACTACGAATGAACATAAGATACCTGTACATTTGCACTTGTGTATGGTATATGTTGCATTTATTAGTATTCCACAAGTGTCAACGTTACCCTTAAGCGCCCCTTGTAAAAAGGCCAGTTACATGTGTTCACTATAGTCTACAAACTACATCAACTGTTCTGAAGTCACTCATCTTTCTGTAAACAAAAAAGGAGGGAAAATGACCTGTCAACACATGAACATGAACAACTGTTCACCTGAAAACCAACACGCCTACCATATACAATGTTTTAATTATTTATTTGAGACATTGAACATTGTACCCAAGATCAAATAAAATAAATTATCATGACTCGAGTAAGGGTCGCTTTGAATTCTACGTAGAAAGGCCGTGCCAGATTGTGACTCAAAAGTTGTAACATGTTGTCACCAAGGACTGGAGCAGCTGGAATACTGATGCTGGTTACTGGAAGTTTCACGCTATCCTTCATGTCAAACAGTCTTGTGGAGAGTTTGGTCTTGTCTTGGTTTTTCTTTTGTTGATTTTTGTTTATGTTGTTGTTTGTTTGTTGTTGTTGTTTTGTATAAAAATTATGGGGCGGCGACACTGGTCTCTTTTCCTCAACTTTCTAGTTATGGTGGGAGGATCTGACCTGACTGCAATGAAACCCTATCACATAATCCGTATGCCAGAAGCACAGACTAAGCTTTTCAATAAATCTTTTGATTTTGCCAACCCTATTAGAAATTCAGATTCACCAAGAAGCATAACCACCTAAGTAAAAAGTTCGTCAGCAACGACTCACAAGAATAGTTCACTCAGACAGCAACACCACTTCCTGACACATTGCCATCAAACACAGTTCTTCATCTTCTTGACAATCATTATCTCAGTCCGTTCAACAACCTCAATATGTGAACCAAGTTGTTGGGCAGTGGCACGTATTTCGCATGTTGTGTCTGCGTTTTGTTCTTCATATATTTCGCCTACTGTCACATTTCTACAGTCTGATTTAGCAGCACTATTCAGTCAGCTTCAGAATATTTGGTGATTTAAACGGACATATCCACTTTGGGGTGGGGAAATGTCTAATTCAAGGGGGAAAGACTTAATGAGTTATACATATACTTATTTCCCCTTGATAAACCCAGCATTCTGCAACTGAAACTTACTCTTTATCACTTTCAAACATATTCCAACCTACTGGACGAATTTGACTTGTCTAAAATGAGCTCAGAGGACGTGACATTTTCACGGGTTACATGGTGTAAAATGCCACGTAAAATACGGACAGTTCAGCTGACAATTCTTCCTCTGCAAAAATATGTACCGAAAGGAAAATCAATGTTCATTAATAAAGGTGAAGATCATAATTAATATATATATTTCTCCTTCATGAGTTACCTACCACTGACGGCAGTGTCACGATATTGCGATATCTTCTATTATTGCCCATTAGTACTTACATGTACGTAAACACTTATTTAATTCATCCTTAGAAACATTAGTTAAATATCTGGGCAACGGGACGTTTTCCAGTACCTTAAAAAGGTCGGGATAATAATACAAATCTGTCTAAGGATTAATGCCAGGCCACCATTGCGTATTATGAAACACAGCGTCACATATAGAAAGTGGTCAAATGTAACATGTTATATTGGGGATTACACTTTCACTGTAAAGTACAGATTCTAATGATGAGATGAGTCCCATCCGATATATGCACCCAAACTCTAAGAGTCGGGCACCTGACCGCCAGCACACATAGATTTTACCCATTCAACCACTGCCTGCGTCCAAGATAAACCAGCTAAACACATGACCAAAGGACAGGTTAATGTAGACAAGACAAACGAGAGTTCGAGAAATCCCAAATACATGTACATGTATTTTCTAAAGGTCTGGCCCTTTTGACTTTTCTTGGGCCCTTTTGACTTTTCTTGGGCCCTTTTGACATTTCCAGTTTTGGCCCTTTGACCTGTTCCCGTTGGGAGCTCTTTGTTGTCGGACTAAATTATTTGTTTAAAGAAGGGTGAAAATCCTGTAAATCCCAATAGCACACCTGACAAGTATCTTGGGTGACCAATGAGACAATACACCAATGTGAAAAACCCGAAACAAAGTCACATGACCAGTTGAGTGAGTGAGCGAATTTAAGTTTTAAGCCACAGTCAGCAATATTCCAGCTATATGGCGGTGGTCTGTAAATAATCGAGTCTGGACCAGACCATCTAGTGATCAACCGCATGAGCATCGATTTACGCAATTGGGATACGATGACATGTCAATATAGAACAAACTTGATGGATAACAACTTCTTTCATTCGTGAGTGCGACATTTCGATACAGATTCTTGTACCGTGTCAAGCAGGAATCCTCACTTCTTTTATTCGTGAGTGCGACGTTTCGATACAGATTCTTGTACCGTGTCAAGCAGGAATCCTGTATCGAAACGTCGCACTCACGAATATAAGAAGTTGTTATCCATAAAGTTTGTTCTATATTGTACTTTCCAACTTCTAACATGCCACTCAAAGAAGACATGTGTCAACCAAGTCAGCGAGCCTGACCACCGGGTAACGTTAGTCACCTCTTGCGACACTTCAAGCATCGTTTACTGAAGATCAATTCTAACCCGGATTTTCACGGGTCAGGACCAGTTGAGAAACTGTCACGAGTGATAACATTATATACACGTTTTCAATATTACACTTTTAAGACACATGACATGGAACTGGTTTCTTCGTCAGCTACAGATGAATGGGATATCGTCTCTGTGTGTGGATACTGATTGGTACATACCTCGAACAAGTTAATGGCCTGACATTACTGCTATAAATTTAGTCTTTTTTAATTTTGATATTTTCTTTTTATGTATTTGTTGTAGCATTCAACAGAATCATTCCACTCCATTTAGTCTGTCACCGAGAAGTTGTTTCGATGTGAGACAGACAATATGCACTAGGGTTGCATTTAGGGCGTGTGTGTGAAATATGACTCACCTAGAGAATATATAAAGTCTAGACATTGATGATGATGTTCGTCATTGGCTTGTGAAGATGAAGATGACTTCTGATCACGGGGGTTGGAGATGGATGATGAGGCCAATTCTCGCTCGAATAACAGATATTACTATCATTATACAAAATATAAAAATTCACTGAAAACACATCGTGAAGTTCAAAAGTGTATAAAAATACAATAATAAATTAATAATGCTAGGATCATAAGGCAAACATATAGCAGAAGTTAAACTTCAAAATGTTTTGATTTGTCTTAATATCACAATAACCAAGATGGAAATATTAATGGGTAAAAAAGACGACTGTATTTTCCAATTAATTCCAAGACGAAACTGTATTTCATTTTTGTTGATTAATGTAAGGATACTCCCATATACCACCAACTGGGCTTGTGGGTGGCGCAGCAGAGATCGCAACCCAGTCAAGAATTATGATATATCACCTGGGTAGAGGAAACAATTACAAAAGCAACAACCAGTCTTGGGGAACTGCTCTAGATCAGTGTCCCTTTAAACAGAACAAAGGTCAGTAACAGCTATCACCCTCCAGGTGAATGCGAGGATTGTTACTTCTGTCCCACCCATATCCTTTGCAGAACATCATTCCCACAATGCCTATATGAAACACCTCATTTCACTGCCTTGACCGAATGACTGAGATCTTATTTAGAACTTTACAAAGTAGTTTAAAAAAATGAAGCCTATCCTTGTGTAAAACCACTTCTTTATAACTTCCATCTTTGGGTTGTAAATGAGAGCAGACGTGGCGCCCTCTTGATCAGGTGGACAGTCATTTGGTGTGTCATCCTGGTGCCAGCCAAACCAGTCTGTTGTAAGTCCTTGTGCTCCCAGACAGAATATATGGTACAGCTTGGTGGTAATCACCACCAACTGTATCATAGCAGGTACTGTACTGAATCATAGGAAACAACAAAGGAAATATGACTGGATGAGGTGATTGCCCCCTATCCATCCCATGCTGAACCATACAACCAAGTCTGTACGTGTTTCTACATTTTTGTACATAAATTTTATTCTGAACATGATTTTAGAAATGGCATTTTGTCATTTACAACAATCAATCAGAGAGAAAGCAGCACATTATTGCCAGTTTGCACCTTTGAGAACTGTCAGTTAACCATTTTCATTGCAACTAGTGTATCTCCAAATACATGTATATCTAACACCAAACAGTGAATGACATACAGTTTGAAAGCAGCAACTTGTTATATCTGTGATAGTTTAAATGTTTTCCCATTTCTAGTGTGCATATTTCTCCTGCCATTGACAGATAACACCAGCTATGTCATGGATCACCTGACGATGTTTCAGTTAGACGTTTGTTGAGATGAATGTGAAATGTAATATTTTGTTACAATGTACATGATTTCACCAAGTAAATCATAGCCAACTGGTAAATCATATCCAACAGGGACATTTCAGCCATGTCATGGCATCCTGTAATTTGACTGGAGTCAGGTCCAAGCAAACCTGTGGTTGACACCATGATCCACATCTGATGCCCTCCGCTAGAGTAGTATGACATGATCTAGCCCTCGGCTAGAGTACTATGACATGATCTAGCCCTCGGCTAGAGTAGTATGACATTATCTAGCCGTGGACTAGAGTACTATGACATGATCTAGCCTTCGACTAGAGTACAATGACATGAATCAAGTCATGAACTGAAGCATGGCATACAACAAACAGGGGTCCATGAGGACCCAATACAAGTGGACTGCACAAAACATCAGACCAAGACAGGGCTTGTGTTTTATCTCAACTCAGTGCTACATTGACAGATAAATACACATAAATTAATGACATATTATTTACCTTGATTTTGTATTTAAGTCAGAACAAAACACACAGTTAACAAAAGCTACAATGCATGAGTGCCAGTGTTACACATATACTTGAATTTCACTTCATTATGGGGTTCACAAAACATTTCAAGAGATCATCACCTTCATACTCCATGATTTGTTTTGATGGGTATAGCATTCATGTACAGCTGATCTGACCATAATGTTGAATTTAGTCCAAATTATTTGGATCCAAAATACTCATCATAAAGTTTCTGAATAACACCCTGTTCACATGCCACATTATACACACCTGAGCGTTTTTACAGGTGCTGTATATTTGTAAATAAAAGCAAAAGTAAAGATATTTTCTGTTCACATGAAGAATGTGTGCAAAATATTTGTGCTGACAAAGGTATCAGAGTAGTTCTCTAAACTTGCTCTTAAAACCAAGATGAATAGGCGTCTCAATGCGAAAAGAAAAAAGGATTTTTCTATATTTCTATACACAGGATTATCACTGGGTCTCACTCCGGAACAAAAAGTGTGTAAAACAGAGGTCCAGAGCCTGTGGAATGACATTGTAAACATTTTCAAACAGACTGGGTGGCAAATATTCAGATGACGAAAGAAACATTTTACTTCCTTTGTCCAGACCCACAGGAATCATATTATGGAAGTACGGACATTGATCATACAGTATATTTATATATTCAGCTGTTTAAAAGTGTTTATGACACTTGTTAAAACAAAGATGATGAACTAAGTCAAATTTCAAAAGGCAGAGGAGGATGTCAAAGCAGTACTGGTTTGTTTTGAATCAGTCTTGGAATTTCCGAACTGTGGTGGATGCACATTCCCATAATAAACCCAGTCCATGCCTACAGGGATTATCTAAACATGAATGGGTTCTGTTCCATTTTGTCTTTTGCTCAGTTTGTGAGCAGCTTGGATTGTGTTTGCGTATAGAATGATCGCCTGCTCTGAGCTATTAATAGAGTTCCTGTCACATGTTGCTTTTAAGATTCCTAAGCAAAAGTATTTTGCATTCACATGGCACTACATACATAGTATGTACACATACTTATATGTATATATATACTTTTGCATGACCTCTTCAGGTCATGTAAATAAATCTAAGAGCAATGATGCACACACAGGTAAATGTGTTAACATGACCGTTGCACACCAGGAATATATTTACTCATGTATGCCCAAATACACCTGTATCAGCTGGCATGTGGACAGGGCATTCACCACCTGTGTATGATCAACACATAGTTGGAACAGTTCAGCTCACATCAATTCAGTATAAATTCATATTTAAATCATAGCAAAATGAGAGGAAGCCCCTTTTAATTCCGTGGAGACATTTTTTGGAGTCTGCTGACATTATGTCCAGTAATACCAGGAAGTTCACATCATGGGGAGGTTAAGTTACACATCATGCTACCACAATAATATTGACTTTGTAAACATAAAAATAATGGTGGCTCATCATAATATATTAGAGGTGATTTCACCTATCACATACTTAATGCAAATCTTACTGACACTTTTGAAATTCCAGAGACAGGACATGTAACAAGTGAGCAAAGTCAAGTCAGAATTCTGTTGGCAAATTTCAAAGACAGCTTTGTAAGAGAATTTAAGAAAATCATTTTTTTTACCTATAAATTCTGAGTGGTGACAATAAATATGTTTTTTCACTCTCCCACAACTTCAGATGTCAACATTACTCATGAAACCAACATGAATTCTTAAGTTTCCATGAGACATATCGAAAATTAGATTCAGACTTAGAATACATTTAAGGAGAGAGCCATTTTATTCGTTCCTACCATCTCCCTCCCTAATGTACTATCTATAGCTGGCACTACCTCCTATTTCCATATAATCCCTTAGGACAGTGCTCTATAGGGGGAGTCTGGCCATGTGCAAATATCAAACACTGATGACAGCTGAAGATTAACTGATAATCTCATAGAAGCTGTGAATTCTGCAGATTTTGACAGACCCTGTAACTGTGGTAACCTAGACTTGCCACATATTCTAGCCTTGCATGGGCTGTATTGGGTATAGTTGTTTCTGGGTCTGTATGACGAAGTCTTCCCTATTCTCCAGAAGTGAAACAAGAAACATGAACAGAGTGTACAATGTAAGATGGACATTCCTGGCAGTATATTGTCAACACTTTCCAGAAATGAAAAAGGTAATTACCATAGAATTAACTAAGAAGTAATCCATTTGCCATGTCAGTATCTGATAACTGGTCACAGTGCAGTTTTCAAAGGTCAAACGTTCTTTGACATGCATATGAACTTGCAGCCACTCAGTAGTCCAGGGAGCAGATGAAATGGAAGATAAAGTAGTTAGTTTGTAGAAGCCTCACAATATATCCAATTTAGTAACACCCAAAACTAGAAAGCAAAGCAATGAACTTGATCTTGAATAAAAGCTGGCATTGCAGAAAAGACATACTTATCTTCATTTCATACACATTTGGACGGAGAAATTAGAATCTGATAAGCCTAGGGTATAAATACCTCCAGGCTAGAAAATGTAACATAATGCAAGACATCATCTGCAAGAATCTCTTGTTAGCAAGGCACACTGTTACTCATGCACATCACTAGATCACTGTCCTTGCCATGATGAAGCACAAGCATGGCAATACATCCTTAGAAAAGTCCTGCAGCAAAACCATGGAGAACTTCTGGTACTGATGCATCGAATCCTGCGATGTCCAGTGCACCAAGATCAGTCTGGTCAGCTTGATTCAGTCGACTGGCTGTCAGTCCACAAATTGCTAATCTGCAACAAACACAAAGCTGTGCTTCATCTTGAATATTTAACAAATGCCATTGCTCTGGTACGTGCAATGTAATGCAAATGTTTTTCATGGCTATTCAATGGTTCAACAATCAGTTACAGATATTACAATCTGTCCAGTTTCAACTTGTTTCTGATTGTTTCTGATCCACAGATTTAACTTGAATAACATTTTTAAACATAGCTCATTTTGTGTTGTCTTACTTACTAGTGGTCTTCCCAAGTGCTATCCATTCGAGTTATCTCCCCCTGACATGCGCGTAGGATCCTTTTAGTTTGTCCTAGGGTACCTTAAGTGTGGTACCTCAAATGTTAGAGGTAGTATTCTATGAATTATTATCATTGTTGATAATACTTCAAAATACTTGTTTCTGACAGAGTGCACCTGATTCCCTCAGTTTATCCAATTCTGAAAGAATCTCAGATGCTGTGAATGTGAGATCCTGCACAGAGCACTCCTAATAGCAACATCCATTGGCTTAGAGAGTGTGGACATTTCTTGAACTTTAAGATGCTAGTTATCACATCCTGATAGCATTCAAACAGGGTGTTAATGAAGCCTCGATGGGCCTGAAGTTCTCATTTTTTGGGATGAACTAGGAACCCCAAATTCCCGTATATAAGCTCGCTCATAAAGGAATTCTACTCATTTATCTAACAAGTCATCATTCGGAGACAGGAAATTGTAGAGAATCCTGATGCATTGTATCAGGATAAATTGCAGAGATATGCCAGTACCATGGCTATTTTCACTGTGAATAGCCAGGGATCCACTGAACTGGAATGATCTTCCATTGACTGCAACGTGTAGATATTTCTGTGAGTCTGGATGGATGGGTAGGTGTACATGATATGTATCCTGCTGTTCTATGGAGATCATACAGTCCCTTATGGAAATCCTCTGGGAGGTTCTGTATGGATAATTCTTGGGAACGAGAAATACCGGAGACAAGAACTTTAGCCCGAGGTCCAAAGGGTTCATCTCAACAACAGCTTTCCTGGATTAGAGCTTGTTTATCGCTGTTATTGCCTCTGAAAACTTTGGATCCGGAAGCTGATAGCAATGCGCCACTGGACATGTCATCAAGGGAGAGTCTCCTTGCGAACTGAAGATGGTATCTCTATTTGATAACCTTTAGCATCCATTGGTCAGTCCTTACAATGATCCAATTTTCTAAAAAAGGTGACTAACAGCCACCACTAGATCCTGGAATACTTTCACCGGAAAGGCTGGCATCTGTTTCTGAGACGAGGTGGTATGAGTCCTTGCTATTGCTGTCTGAGAGATGTTTGGGAAGTCAACTTGACTTAGGTCCTGGCTTGAAAAACTTCCTGGCCAGGGAAACCCTTGCCGTAACCTCTGGCTGGAGTCTTGGGCTTGTTCCTATTGTCTTGCCATTAATCAGCTCCCCAGAACGTCTTGTTTGGGCCCCACAAAGCCTGTTCTCACAGGGCCCTTGACAAGATGGCTTGCTTGGCTGGAGGCTCAAATGCAAAGAGGATACTTAAATTGGGCCCTGTGAAACTTCGGACTTCCAGTGCTTCCTTGAACTTGTTGATTGTTACTGATGGAGATGGTGAGAGTAAACTGGGGCCAAGGTTAGTACATTTGTTGTGTGGAGCTGCATCACCAAGGCATGCCAGAAACCTATGATTGTTGGTTCAAATCACATTTGTGTATTCATACTGTGGTATCAGTTTTTGCATGCCAAATTAATCTTAAAAGCTGCTCATTGAGCTAAGAAAGACCAAAAGTGTAAGTGAACTTTTGGCATGACACATGTTCTGTCCATCAAATTCCAACTGTGAAGGGATAACTCAGAAACTCTTGATACGCATCAGAAACTGTTCATGCCATTACCACTAAGATCAACTTTGTTGAGTTTTAAACAAATTGTGAAAAATCTTTTTAACGTTCTTCTTAGAAAGCTAAAAAGTCAGGGAATCTAAAACATTTGTAAGATTTGTGGCAACAATCTTTATTTTTGAAGTTGTAAACTTACTTGGTTTGTAAATTGAGAGATTGTCGATACTGGTTTATAGCTTGTGCTGTAGTCATCTCTCCTGTTGATTCCTTGCTGTCAGTCAGAATGACAATTGTATCATACTGTTGCTTGTTCTCCTCAGCCCACCGAATTGGTGCTGCCATATCACACTGGCACAGCTGTGGAGGCAGCTGAAATTGTAAGATGTACTTGCTTCATTGAACTTGCAACATAACCATGACGTTTACTGGCTTGCTTAATATGTAGAAATGTTATTTGTTTGAAGGTATGTCATGGTGGAGTTCATATTGAGCAGGGATTAAATCACAAGATTTGTGATCTTCTAATGTATTGATCCAAAACTCACCGAAAGGTTTTTGCTTTTGTAAGGGAAGTGTGAAAGTTACGTGAACTGTCATGGGGAGAGATAGATGCCTGCAATCAATCTAATGCTTGGGAAAGAACTGCCACCATTTGAACATACCACTAGAACAGACAAGCTACCGACAGAACAGACTACATTTCTATTGAAATACTTTTTGAGGGAATCACATATAACAATAAAATCTTTGGCTGTTCAAGTACCAAAATTAAATGAAGTTCTGCTCTAATGATGAAAACACATGACCAGTGCCTGAAGCAGTTTGAATTAACAACCATAAACCTCTTGATGCTTCTGTCAGCCCCAACAGGGTTGTTGATAGACAGACATGCTCAGCCATAGTAAGATGCCCACAAACCCCCAGCATGCAGGACCACTCAAACCATTCCATCACCTCTTACCAGCAGCCATTCTCTTCCCACAGAGGTTACTCCTGTCATATCTTCCTACATAACCTCTGTTCTAATACGGCCCTTTCATGGTGTGAGCGTTCAAGACTTGTGATTGGAGGCAATCAGCGACGTTGTTTCAAAAGTGATCATTCGCAAGGCCTCGGTAATTTCCGTCTTCGAGAAAACTAAACCTCTTCCCCTGCGCGATGCGCAAACGTTTCTTCTAGACAGAACTCCGTCACGTTATGGCGGATCAGTGGCGTCTCCATCGCCCTCGTTGACAACAGACAAGATAGCCATTAAACGTCTTGTGTGTAACATCAACACAATTCCCTGGCAGATGGGGGATATTTGTGGCCTCACATTTGCTTGTGTTAGTCAAGTTGAATCTAAGTCGATGTAACACGTGTTCTGATTGGATAGAAAGAAGGGAGATAATTCGTGTTGCGATCTTTTGCCGCTAGGGGATTTTACGAGAACCGGGAAATATGGCCGTATTAGAACAGAGGTTCGTAGGAAGATATGACAAGTAACCTCTGTGGGAAGAGAATGACCAGCAGCATATGTTGCTGGAGAAATATTCGGACCAAGAATCTGAGGTTGAAGGGATGAGAACTTCACATATTTCCCACACATAACTGTCTTGTTTCAGACGGGTTTTTTCATGAAGCACTGATTCAACTAGTGACTCAATCCATTCAATTTACAGCAAAACTAGAGTGTTAATGCAAAATGTCCCTCTAATTCTAAAATATATGATCACAGGAGAAAACTACATGCCAAATTTCAGCTTCCTCAGTCTCGCAGCCTCTAGAGAGAAAATATGACCCAAATGACGTTGAGGAGAATTCAAGAACATGTTCAAAGTAATGTCAAGCTTTATAATAATGCTAAAAACAGCAGGCAGCTATTTCAAATTTCCAAACAAATGGCACTGACAACATTAGGACTACCTTGGTTGACCATCTCACCAAGCATCTGGATTCCGGTCCATATTGGCATCACATTCTTAGAACTTTGCAGACTTACTGAAATTCCAATTTGACACATATAACCAGCGTCTAGCCCTTCAGAGCAACCAACATTAGTCCAGCATGTCCTCACCAGGGCCAGACACCAGTGATGCTGACTATACACTTACCATGACCATGAGCTCACATAGTAAAGCGTAGATTCACCTTTAACAAAGGGAACAATTGCGATACTTGAGATGACACATTTCTAATGTATTTAAATGCTCAACTTACAGGAACTGATGCCTTAGCGACTTCCTTGCATATATCAGCCAGGGACATTTGTGGTGATACTGTGAGTTGCTTAACATCTGACAGAAAGTACACCAGCTGGCACTCGGCCTTGGCCTGTAGTAGGATTTGTATGAGGCCTGCAACTGCAATTACTGGGGATAGCACCAGCGTTCCCCGCACAGAACTCCGCTGTAGGTTAGTGCTGATCTTCACAGCAACTAGGATACGCTTTCCGCTCCAACCAACATTCTGCACAGAAAAAAAAGAAATCCTGTATCATATTGAAAGACTTGATTAGATAATGTTATAACTTTGCATGTATACATTCAACCCGCAGGACAAATGACTGAAGAGTGTCACAGGACAGTAGCTCGTCTAACACAAAGACTTAAATAATTTCAACAAAACATTGTTATAAAAAGAAATGCAGTTCTAGCTCTTTCAATCTGACCATTTCAATATGAGATGTTTAACAGTTGCAAAGATACATTTTCAGAGAATTGAGGAGCATGGTTAATAAAAGGTAAAATTTCTTAACACATAAAAAACAGAACAAATGTCCTGAATCCCACAATCAACTTAAAAAATATCAAATTTCATTTCCTTTGGAACAAAATGTAGATATTTTGAAACATTGCTTAAATACATTTGAGTGTCATTATTGATAGAAACAATCATGTAAGGGTCCAGTGGCTTCTAAGGAGTTAATCTTTGTAGTGTGAGAAAATGCATGAGGAGACAATACAGATCAAAAAAGGGTAAAAATGCAAAATATCTTGGAAAAACTGCAATATTGAGGGCCACTACAACCTACACATTCACAAACTTTCATCAGAAACAATAAACCACATCTGGGTATCATAATTGCTAGAAACAAGCAGCAGTTTCTGAAAAGCATTTGTCATGGATGAAGGACTACAGGGCAATGATCGACAACAGACATCGGGTCGTGTACAACAGACGAGGTACAATGACAGTATCAGGTAAGAATGAATATCATATGGAGAGAAAAAAGGTTTCTTCGAGATGAGATATTAGAATTGATAAAAAAAAAGAAGAAGCTGAATTCCTATCATGGTGCCACAAGTATTGTCATAATTGTTATCTTCACAAAGCTTCAGCACCATCAATGTGACGCTAAGACAAAAATTATTTTATGTACAAGTTACACTGAAAATAAATTCTTATATCATGACGAACGTTATTGTGGTGCTTCATACCCTGCAAAAAACAGTTCTCCAAGCCTTTGGTTTCTGAGATTTTAATCATTTTCATTATGAACAAATATTCTATTTTCTTCAATTCTATTAAACTGGCATGACATGAACTCTGAATCTCATTATATTACTCTTTGTGGTCTCCAGGAAAAAGAGAATTTAAACCTTTCAAAAAATTAATTTCCTATTGCCAAGAACAAGTGACATTTATTTTATGGTACCAGACATCTATGAATCAAGCATGAGAACAGCCAATTCAAGATCTGAAGGAAAATTATTTTAAGTGCCATTAGGGGCCAGAACATTTTCAAACATTACAATGAATTTGGAGCATTTCCTGCAATCTGAGATGAAAATAACACTTCCAAATTCATTGAAATATGATCCATTTGCACTGCAAAATCTTTTTTAAGATGGATTATGGTCACAAAAATCGGAGTTATTCAGTACTCAGTAGTCTGTACTAGTTGTCAACTTTCCGAATGAACTGTCCAGGCAAGTATGACAATGGTTCAATCGTACACTTGTAGTTTCAATAAGTTATTTTATCTGATCTCTCCAGCCAATTCCATTGAAACTTATTCTTCACTGACTGGTCAATTTCTTTTAGTCATTCATTTGAATCATCTCGCTCAATAATTGTGGCCATTTTTCTCTACTATATCATTTACATATACGGCACACACGTTCAGCTCAGACAGTTATGTGACGGCTGCCACGGACACAGTGGTTAAATATAGCCGGTATAACACGGCAGAGGGAGAGATGGTTGACATCATCTTGACATGTTTGGGGGATTATTTTTCAATTGTGTGACAATTTTAAAGCAACCAGATAATCTATTTATACTTGAGGTGGACGTGCCATTTGAAGACAGAGTGATAGAACAATGTTATAAATGGTATTTGAGATCACTGGAGAGGTTATCTGAGGGTCAGCTCAAAGGGAATGCCACCCATTAAGACTTTAACTCAAAAAGTGAACTTTGTTACAGGATACAGTTGGCACCTTTGATCTTTTAGCCGAGCACATAAAAATTCAACTAGAGTCTGTTTGCCACAAAATGGCACCAAAGAATAGAGATAATTTACACAAATTATTGAGCATATTATCAAACAAATACACTATACCTAATCACATACAAAATTTGACGTTATGGCACATTATCATAAAAAAGTTGTTCAACAAATCACCATGTATCCCATACACATTAACAATAAGGGTGTAACAACAAAGGACAGAGAAGCCACCTGTGAGCCCCACTTGGAGCAAGAGGACAAACTGGCATGGACGGATACACGACGGTTCTAATTATTTACTTTAATTATTACTTTAAATAATGACTTTAATTATTTACTTTAAATGTTTTATGCATGACAACTTCCTGTATGTTCTGATGTAACTGCCTTTTGCCTATGTGGCACCATTATACAAACTTGATAAGTAAAAGTGGGCTGGCTCTTTGACTAAATACTTTTCGTGATGTGTAGATTTCTCTAAACAACTGAAAACACATCCACAATTCAAAAGTGTGTTAGTATGTACATAATTCTGATTTGGTTAGGAAGTATTGTGTTAAAGCTAATTTCTAAGTTCACATACCACAGATGTTGCTCTGTTGAATGCTTTGTTCAAGGCTGAAACAACTGCTTCATTCCTAATCCACTTGCCTTTGCCTTTCCCTTGCTCATACGTACGAAGAGCAATGAGCACCATCATTGGTGATACCCTGAAAATAGACAGATATTCATTAATGTATATGCTTAATTTCAGGTATTTGAGTGGAGCCATTGATGAACGTAACAGCTACTCAAAAAGGAGAGATGATTGATTAATATAATGTTTCATGGGGCTGCCATTTAACGTTGACTGAAACAGAGAAGCATGTCCTCTTGTGTATTAACAAATTCAAAGCAATTCGTCTTTTCTTGAAAGAACAAGAGTCACCAGAAGATGGAAAATGCCCTTATAAATTTGAAAGAACAGATCATCTGATTGCTACCGCAGTACCCACAGTTTCAGGGATATGCCCTGGAAAAACACATCCTGTATGAAATCAGTAACTCTCAGAGTTGTTGCCATGTAAACAGAATACATAGATAGCAACCTAAATAACATAAGGCACTAATTGACAATCTGGTGTTTGTTTGACGAAAGACTTCAGCTGTGATTTACTTGGCCAACCAGGACAGTTTACAGTGACTGTCTACAACAACAGAAGGAGCAGGGGCGTGTTCTGGCAAGGTGTTACAAGAGGTTGAGAACTTGGTCTCCACTCCAAGTGAGAGTGCACTACATGTAAAATATTTGTGACAGTGGCACTAATACGCTTCCATATGGTTTCCACTGGCAACATGAATATGACATTATAGGCTAACCCACATTCAGTTGGTGCACTGCTGGCTGAACAGTGAGGGATATGACTGCTAAAACAGCAACATTTACCGTAAACTTGTAGTGCCAGTCCAAGCTACAGTCACTTTGAAACAGAGAGATTATCAGTTACAGTTATTAAAAGGATATGATTTCTTTTTCATTGAAAATTTCAACTGGATCCAGACCATCAGTAGTCACATATACCAGTCCCAGTCTTATCTGGCCAGTCACTATCCAGAAGAGAACAGCAACACTGATGACTTCTGATTTACTGTACTATCAGTCTGCAATTCCATGAATAACTATCGTAAATACAGAACATGGGGAATGTGATGGATAACCAGTTACCTTTGTTGCTGTACAATAAAACTGGCTACCAGTACCTTGACGGATAACTTCCACCTGCAATAAAAGTTTTGTACCTGTTGGTGATGAGGGTTTGTTCATCTTCTAACTTGTTGAGAATGATTTGTAAGGGTGGACAAGATCCATCAAGCAAGTTGAGGCTGGCAATTTTACTGATGTTCATCAACACTTGGGTAAGTGTCATATTTTCTATCAGTGCCATCCACACCTGAAGCATGAAAATACAGAAATAAAACAGATGTGGTCATTTCGCCATAGCTAGTTTGCACATATACACATTGACCGAAGGAAAACTCTATATGTGTACAATGAAGCATGCATCAAAAGAAGGTTGTGGCCTTGTCATTTCTTACTTATGGACTAAGATTAAGCTGAAGCAAATCTAGTTAGCATCTCTCCCTCGGTGTTTAAAAAAATCATCAACTTTTTATCTTTCCAAGCAAATTAGATTTGTTTTCCTTTATGTTGAAAAGTTTTCCAAACATTTTGAAAAAGTGGCTATACTATAAGTTAGTTAGTTATATATGGCCTCAGAAGTATTGGAGTGTATTGTTGCAAGGCATATTTAATGGTAAAACAGCTCAGGAAGTTGTTTTCTCCCTTACAAACTGATATGAGTTCTCGTTAAGAGAAAGTGAAAGCAGCAATTTTGACGGCTCATGAATTTTTTCCTGATGTTTAGGGGCAAATGTTCAGGTCTGCCAAGAAAAGGGATGGTTCTAGTTTTGTCTAGTTGCTGGGGAGAAGGAAACTTGTTTGACTGGTGGTACTTCAAAGTCAGTTTTGTGAAAGAGCCGTGGGCATATCATTTCTGAGTGTAAAAAGCTTGCTCTACAAAATAGTCCTTTCCCTAATGCTTTAATGCTAGTCTGAATGTCAAGTCAAGCCTTTCTGTGTTTTGGTTAATGTTAAGTTATCTTTTGTAATTAGTTATCAAAGTTTGTTGTTGTCTGCTATGGTGAAGCAAATCTAAAATAAACAATGATGGTGATCTGGGAAGTCACAAAACATCAAACAAGTATGTGAATACTTTCCTGTATTCCGTGACTGTGCCTGTGACAAGAATGTGATGGTCTTGCACAGATTATCAAGGAAAGGTTGGACTGTACCCCAAGATCTTTAACCTGTCTGTGTGGATAGATATTAGCTGAAGCTATCATCATGTGTTGTATATCCAACTTGCCAATGTGTTGTAGTCTTCCAACCAACAGAACCTCAGTTTTCTCATCATTCAGCTTTATTTTCTTTGTATCATCCAAGATTTAATTTCAGAGGTGCAGTTTTAGGTTTATTGAAAAGTAGTGGATGTAGAATGACATTTACAGGGTTATTTCCCTTGGCCTGTCAAATTTTCAAAATAAACCACCAACCTTAGGTTCTGACCAATCAGCCAACCCACTGATGTGAAAAGGCCAAAATGAGGTTGGCTCATCTCCTTTATAAACGTCCTGTGATCAGAGATTACTGCAATTTATAAACTAAACTCTGACGACTTGTGCTCAATGATAGAATGAAGTTCGAAGACTTTGAAAACTTAATGAAATATTGTTTGATCTCCTGAATTCCTTATAAACTGAGCTGTGCAGTTGCATCTGAATGATTCATGAATGATACAGATCACCATATGGTCACTATTTTAAAATGCATGTTTGTTAAATTGTTCAGAGAAACAATATTCTTGGAAAATTTCATTGTAATATAAAAGTATACATGATTTGCCATCTAGAGGTTGTTGCATGGCAGATAATAATTTTATATCAATGAACACTTCACTGATAAAGATTCATTCTCCTAGTTGTCCCCAAGTACTTTCTATTGTGGCTGAAGATTTGAATGTTTGTTTTTTCTTTCTTTTGAAATGCCAAACATTTTATTGGGTGTTTTGTTTTGTGTTCAGCAAAGTGCAGGTGTTATACAGACATGTATCTAGTATTAATCCACCATGAAACTGGTTATTCTTAGACTGTAGGAGGTGTGTTTACTTCTCTGTAGCAACAAAACAAGGAGACATAGTCATCAGTGTTCTGTTCCTATTTGGTTCCTGATTTTTAACTCCACCATGACAGTCATGTCCTGAAAACACATACCACATTTGGTTTACCTATCTTTAAGTATAATGGCTACTGAGAAAATCTGTTCCATTGGGGATATGGGGCGGTGGGGTAGCCTAGTGGTTAAAGCGTTGGCTCGTCACGCCGAAGACCCGGGTTCGATTCCCCACATGGGCACAATGTGTTAAGCCCATTTCTGGTGTCCCCCGCCGTGATATTGCTGGAATATTGCTAAAAGCGGCGTAAAACCAAACTCAGTCAGTCCATTGGGGATACCGTGCACTAAGTAAAGAAATGCATAAGGGCCATAACTCTTATCACAAGGTTTCCGTTTTCGAAATCTATCAGGGCATTCATGTCCTGAAAACACCTATCAAATTTGGTTTCCCTATCTATAACAGTTTTGAGAAAATTTGTCCCCTTTGGGGATACCATGCACTAAGTCAAGAAACCCATGACAAGGGCCATAACTCTGTAATAAATTATAACACGATTTCAAACTCCATCAAGGTATTTATGTCCTGAAAACAAACACCAAATTTAGTTTCCTATCTATAACGGTTTCTGTGAAAACCCATCCCCATTGGGATACCGTGCACTAAGTCAAGAAACACATGACAAGGGCCATAACTCTGTAACAAATGTCACACGGTTTCCGTTTTTGAACCCCATCCAGGCTTTCATTTCCAGAAAGCACATACCAAATATAGTCTCCCTATTTATAACGTTTTTTGAGAAAATCTGTCCCCATCATCTCATAAGGATGGACAGAGGATAATATTTTCTTTTTGTAACATAAGTGTTGTAATTCAATAATGTTATGTGGGGGCCTGAGAATACTTGTGCATCTCTCTGTCAGAAGTGCATGAATAATTGTACAACTGCAAATGATCCCACTTGAATTCAGAACTGGGGGATAGGAAATAGAATTTCTGTAAAAGAGGTATTTTGTATTGTTTTATATTATGGGGGTCAGCATTACTACTAAAACACGCCAGTATGTAAAGTTAATCATAATGTAAGAAAATATGCCTGATCCAGTAATCTGAAGCAGAGCATCCTACGCCAGGAGCTGCTTAATAACCAAGTCATAAGCACTTATATTTCAATAACATTTTGCAAAAACATACGCAACACAGCCCAGCTTAAAAACCCACAAGCTACTAAACAACAAAGTTAAAAGGACATCTGTCTTAATGAGCTTTGACCTTCATTCTTGCCCACCAGTTGTAGTGTTACAAATGTTAATGTACCTGAAGTCACTGGTTACCAAGCATGTTGCTGAAGCATGCAATGTAGCAGGCGATGTAGAAGGTGTGTGTCAGTGACAACAGTATATCTCAGGGGTGGAAATAACTTTAAAATTGCTAGTGTACTCCGGTACAGTGGCACATGTAAAATCACTTGCCCTGATAATTTTTCCACTATACTGGCCGATTTTCTTGTTGATGTTTTAAAAATACAACATAATTAACACTGGAAAGTCAACTGGACACTGGTACAGTGTGAAATACAAATTTGCTTGCCCGACAGAAAAAAACACTGTACTGGGGCGTCGGGCAACGGGTTATTTCCACCCCTGTATCTACAGGAACTTACAAACACAATATTATCTTTACAAAATTGTTACAAACTAGAATCTACTTTTGATCTTCATGATTGATCCCTAATCCTTGCATAGGCCCTGTTATATCTTTCAGCTCAATCCACTGGTACTGTTATCAAAGAGATAATGACAAGGAGCCAATGAAATTATGAGACCCAAATACATATTAAAAATGAACAAGACTTTCACTAATGAAGTAGAAAAAACATTTAAAACATTTGAACTAAACTCTAATATGTTATCCTAATCCTATCCACTTCACCTCTGATGAGTTGAGTAGTTTTGTTGGTATTTGCTCCTTTGAGAGCCGGTGCTGTCTGATGAGCGAGGCCACCTGGTGTCCATCACAGGAGTGTTTTACAGTGTCTACAGCCTCAAGGAACTTCAGCAGATCAGCCATGTCATCATTGCCAACTTCTTTGGCTGCAGACAGGCCCCTCAGCAGGTACTTCAACACAATTCCAACATCTGCAATCAAACATCAAAATGATCAAACTAATCACCTTCATGAGCAAAACAAAAATATTTTCAGTTTTAGAACAGCAAGCGGCTGCTAAAATAAAGCCATAATCAACAACATTGCAGCTGCATATTCGTTGTCTGTTAATAATCATAATAATAATAATAACAACTAGGACTGCCTCCTGGGCAATACTGACAGTATTCAGACTTCCCCATACACTACCCTTGGCTACCTTTACTTGTGCTGTTTCTTTGAACGCCAGCTGGAGCGTCCATTTTAACTCTCGGAGTTACTGGTGTTTGAAGTGTTTATTTAAGGGCAGAACAAGTTTTTGACACGAGAGTGGATCGGTGAAATGCAGCCGGGGTTGTGGGGGTCATGTACCTTTTAAGTTGTTCTCACAGAAGGTATAGTTCTCTCTTTAACAGACCGTAGATCCGCTGTCCTTGGGTCTACGGTCCAAACGATTAGTGTTCTGGAATCGCCACGATCCTAGCTATCTGACGCATAGACGTATGTGCATATACTGCACTTGTGAAACAACCATAGATTTATGTGTGTATATAGTGCATTTGTTAAACACCCATTCAAAAAAAATTGAAATAAAACTCATATCTGACTCTGTACTTTCAATGTTTATTAATGCAAACTTGTTCTCGACGCTGTATGGCTTGGATAATGCCGATGTAACGTAAAGGCCAATTCAAGGGAAACTATTTATTTGTGCATTGGATGACGTTCCAGCTCAGATTTGACAGCTCATTGTCATTGTCAATTACATCTGTCGTTGAAATTCACATCGTCTCCCATATCTGCACGTGGACCACGCTTTGCAGTGGTAGTCTCTTTATAGGAGATATATGTTCTCCCACGTGAACAACCTGAGGGAAGTTTATCTACATCACAAATTGCAAATGTGTAATGTGACTAACAAATTACATGCTTTTAAATTTAGTGCTATGACTTTTTCTGTTTTTAAATGACAATGTAATGAATAGATGTTTTTTAAATAAAACTCATTTTGACTCTGTACTTACAATGTCTATTAATGCAGACTTGTTCTCGTCACTATATGGCTGGAATAATGCCGATGCGACGTAAAGCCCAACTCAACTCAACTCAACTCAACCATTCAAAAATTACAGTGGTGCGGTTAAAGGCCGGGGTTCAAACCTGAGATTAATTTGGCATTGATTCAATGCTGCTGACACAAACGGAAAACTCACAAACTGCAGAAATAGTCCAGTAGAAATTGTATGAAACCCGGACATTTAGTATAACAAGCAAATTTTATGACTAAATTAACCCAAATAGGGTACTTGTTCACCAAGGAAAACCCAACCAAAATCAACCTTGGGGAAATTGTCATTTTGGGGCAAAATCCTAAAAAAGGATGAGAAAATTGTTAAATATTTTTGAAAAGAATTACATTTAGTATAACAAGCACATTTTATGACTAAATTAACCCAAATAGGGTACTTGTTCACCATGGAAAACCCAACCAAAATCAACCTTGGGGAAATTGTCATTTTGGGGCAAAATCCTAAAAAGGATGAGAAAATCGTTAAATATTTTTGAAAAGAATTACATTTAGTATAACAAGCACATTTTATGACTAAATTAACCCAAATAGGGTACTTGTTCACCATGGAAACCCAACCAAAATCAACCTTTGGGAAATTGTCATTTTGGGGCAAAATCCTAAAAAGGATGAGAAAATCGTTAAATATTTTTGAAAAGAATTACATTTAGTATAACAAGCACATTTTATGACTATATTAACCCAAATAGGGTGCTTGTTCACCATGGAAAACACAACCAAAGGGGAAATTGTCATTTAGGGGCAAAATCCTAAAAGAAGATGAGAAAATACATAAATAATGGCCTAAAATTGTATTCAATCACATCTTGGTTTTAGCACAATCTTTGTGTCACTTGGGTAATTAAAACTAAGGATTTTGAATCAATTGATTAATGTCAGTTTAATAGACTTGTTGGCATATACAGTTGCCGACACATCTTCAAGACCACTGTCCTGCATACACTTACATCCAGCTCCAAGAAAGGATATCAGTTGGTGGAATCCACCCAGGCGTAAAGACAGATGTTTGAATTCTTTAGGATTGTCAACCTTTATTTTATACGCCTTTGCAAAGAGAGCTTGGTCAAATGTAATTTGACCACAAACAACACTGGCCAGATTTTCTTCTTTGGAGATCTACAAAAATCATTGTACTATAAACCGCCTCCATTGTCTGTGGATTTAATGGGATGATAGGATTGTACATGACTGAAGAGCAAACAACTGTACCATCTGAGACATAAAACCCTGCCAACTTGGAGATGAGTTGCTCAACAAGCGGGACACTTTCCACAGCATGTCCATACTTTGGAAGTGTGTCATAGGAACATTGAATGGCTGCAGCTCCTCAAACACAACATTGGGCAGTTGACTTCTGACTGGTTGATGGTAGGGTTTTATGAGTGTACCAAAGGTTCCTGATTTCATAATCTCAGCAGATTTACTTTCTGTCTGGGGATGGAAATTGTTTTACTTTCTTTGGGTGTTTGACAAGTTATTATTCCCATTACATGTGAATTATCTTGTCCATTTAATGTATCTTCATTGTGATCAAAGTTGTCTGCGATCCATTGACAAAATCCTGAAGCAGGCTCAGTTGATTGGTTGACGTTATCTTGATTGACAGCAGCCGATTTCGAGAAGTCAAGGACTTGATCATAAGAGGTAGCTAAACCCAAGGGAGGAAAGAACATTGAGAAGAACTCTTGACCGTGTAAGGTGGTGGATAAACAGGCCTACACAGAGCATCAGTGTTGAGATGTATGACTGTACTGAAGCCGTCTGAAGTAGAACATGACATAGAGAAATGATAAGAAGTCTCTGTTTGGCAAGAGATGATGGACTCCTTGACTTCAGTAGAATTCTTTCAATGAGACTGAGGACAAGCTGATGTACCTGCTCTTCAAGTTTGTTCACATTGATGTCACTGGGTGAAGGATATTCTTGGGTCGAAGATTCATCCTGAACTTGACTCCACTTGCTTATGTCATCTCTGAGAATGGATCCAGCTTTCTTTATAATCTTCTTATCTTCAGTTTCCCTTTTGAACGTCAGTTTGAATGTAAGATCCATGAAGAATGGAAGATGCTGTACTGTGGAAAGTGATAACATTTGGCTTTCCATCTATCTCAGAAAATGTTATTCGATCTCCAAATGTATCAATCAGTCTCCTCTTGAGGTGTTTTATGGAATATGGTTCAGTTTCAGGAGATAGATAGGATGAAAGTTCCTTGTGCACATCTTGGATTGTGAACTGCTGATAGTTATGATTATCTTCCTCAAGCCATCTGCACAACTTGATAAAGGTTCTGTTGTTTCCCTGGTCAGAGTTACGTGAATTGGTCTTGCTTTGACTGTGTTTGATGTTCCTAGGGGATGTAAATACCTGAAGACACTGTCTATGGTATCTGGCCTCAACTGCTCTTATATCTCCTGCATAGAAAATACGGACTTTGACAGTTGATGCATCATCGTCTTGTCTTTTACTACAAACATCTAAGAGAGTTACTTGAAGAACAGATTTTTTGTCATTATTTATGATTTCAACTTTGCTAACATCATGACGGTGAAGATGTTTTTGTAGATCGATGGAGTCAATCTTCTTTCCACAGATCAAGCAACAAGTGTCATAATCAAAATTACATTTTTCTAATTTCATTTCTTAATTAATTCATAATTTCTCTTAATTTTGGGAATTATTAAAATTTGGAATCCTACTGTTTGGACAATGTTTTGCAGGTGTAACATATCTGCTTTTCATTGGTACTTTGTGAACTAATTCTAATTTTTTAACAGATCAAAGAGATAAATACACCAAAATAAAATAAGCCTATCCAAATCTGTTTTCATCAATATACGCATGGTAACCATGTATTGTGTAGTGAACAATAATATTTTCATTGATAATCTATATTTGAAATATGATTTTGACTATCATTGACTACAAATTACTCAAAGATTTAATTATCAACAGACGCTTTCATATTATGTAATGAGTCGGAGGGAAAATAGCATCAGTAGGAGTGCATCGGTAGTTTATGCAGTGGTTCCATATATTTTTATATATTTTTTTAAGGTAATATTTCATTCTAGATTTGATTTCATCTGTCTCCTTGAACATCCTAAACATCTACTCCATCACCATATGACAAGAAAGACTAGTAGGAAAACCATAACATTACATGACCTTGAAGCCTAAAATTTCAACATCAAGTCTATCTATCTTGTTCAAATTTTCATTGATCAAACAAGACTATTTTGAAGTTATTTCTCAATGCCTTATGTCTCAATGCCTTTTAACAGTTGTCAAAGGTTATTTCCCCATGGAAACTTTCTTAAAACTCACAGTACTTACCTTGTATGTCAAATTTCACCGCTTCAAAACTTCTGTTGTCACAACAATGTCGGCCATTGTTTGCTGTTACTATGAAGGGAGATAATATTAGTCATACAACTGATGTTATATGTAAGAAACCTCAGCACAACATTGAGGTACATTTTCAAGTGGTCATAACTTTTTCTGCCCAAGGTTGATTTTGGTTGGGTTTTTTTCTCAGCATCACAGGAACCTATAAATCATTTTAAGACACAAATTTGCTTGTTATACTAAATGTCCGGGTCAACTTAATTTCATGTCGATTTCTACTGGTCTAAAAAACAAACAGGAAGACACAGTCAAACAAAGCAAACTAATACAGCAATATCTACAGACATATACTAAAAGAGATTACTGGTAAATATTGTAGATTCTGTTGTGGTCAGAAAGTCAAGCGTATTCCTGTCACAGTCAGGCTGGTAAGCAAACTGCTGGAGAGATCACATCCTGACCTAAGAACAACGGAGTTACGGCCTGTTAAAGAGGGAACTATTTCTGTGGGCAGAAAACCAGGAAGCGGTGACAGTTGCTAGATTTTACGACGCTTC